CCAGGGTGAGGTTTATTAAAGCACGGCTGCTCTGCGGGGCTTTTATTTACACATTTAGTAATACAGACCTTTGTTGTGTGATCACTGCTGAGGTTTGTGGATGAATTAAAAGGGAAGTTGAAATTTCATTAGCGGACAGAGTGTACTATCCATTTAAAAGGGAATTGGACAGATGTGTGCGTGTGTATAAGCAGATAGCGTCAATTCATTCAATAATAATCCTTGCATTGATATAGCACCTTATCACATCATTGAGATGTCTCAAAGCGCTTCACAGAATATACTGTAAAGTGTGTTTTGTGGGTGAAACGCAGCAGCGAATTGCGGACAGCAGTGTCCCACACAGTCAGATATTACAATAATAAAAATAATCCTTGCATTTGATATCGCACGTTTTACGTCTTCTAGACATCTCAAAGCACTTCATAGAATATACTGTAAAATATATTATATATAAACATAAATAGATGGATTTCTTTTAGAAAATGATATTTTGGTATACAGTATATGAGTAATTCGAGAAATAACCTTATGGATTGGAAGAACCAGGTAACTTTGGATCTAAGGTTCCCAAAGCTTTACACTGTGCTGTAAACTAATCCATACAGAATTAATTGCTATTAACATCTCCATCGTTGCAGCATGTGACTGCCAGGATGGTAGAAGGCGAATTAGATGGACTTTGGTCTTTTCTTGTCCAGTAATATTGCCCTAACTTCCTCTGCGTGGTGAGTGAGTGGGCGGGAGAGGGGGATGAGGCTGTGCGGCTGGTGTGGAGAGCAGCCAGCTGTGCAGACTGGGAGAGCGGACAGGCTCGTTGTTGAGAGTCTACGGCATGCTGAAAGTTTGGAAGAAATCAGGTCAGCGGGTATACAGAGCAGGAGCAGACACACACACAGGGAGCCCAAGAGACGCAGCAAACATTTACTCACAGGTTAATCAGTCTTGGCTCGGTCTGAAGTACTGAGGATTATCGTAGGTCATTCGTATTCATCCCACATAAACAAACCCATATCTATCGCCCTCTGTCCAAACATGAATTGTAACCGCAACAGGTATTGCATCAACGTTAGCACGGAGCACGATTCTTGTGAGCAAAACTCACATCTGTGCAATTCCTGAGATACAAGTGTGTGTGGGGGGGGCGGTGGGGAGGGGGGGAAGTAATAATAATCCTTACATTTGATATAACGCCTGATCAAGTCTTAGAGATGTCTCAGAGCTCTTCACAGGATACACTGTAAAGTGAATTGAATTGTGTTTTGTGGGCGAAACGTAGCAGCTATTTACGCACAGCAGCGTCCCCACAAACAGTCACTGCTCCCTGGGCTTCCAAATCACTTTCTTTTAAAAAGTCAATCCCACTTTGCAGCTCTCTCCCCACATCCTTTGTGGAGTCCCGTCGCTTCGGGTTTGCGCATTCGTCTCTATCAAAGATCAAATGCAAGGATTATTATTACTATCCTTTAATTTTCTACTGCTCAGGTGTGTATTTTGAAGGAGTTTATTGCTCCAGCTCAACAATAAATGTGGCAATAAACAGTAAAGTGCAAATCCTGAAAGTGGCGAAATTCCTTGTAACTTCTCCCGCGATTCCTCTGCTAATGGGCCACTGGTTACCTCTCCCCCAGCTAAAGCCAAGCAGGCAGCTTTCCTCTCTCTTCACCTTGTCACACGTCTGCAGAATCTTAAAGAACCTTAAAAAGGGCGGTACAGGCATAACAAGCACCTGTTCATTGTGATGATGGGTTAGCATTACCCAGCCCGCACAATACCACAGGCAGATCCGATTTCACCGAGTCCCACACGTAAACACACACAATGCTGTCAGCGCTCAGTCATATTGCATTCAGCAGCAGACACTTTCCCCAGCCGGTGCTGAATCAGTCACGATGAAGAGTCGAGCTATACTGACTGATTAGCCAAGGTCACCACACAGCACAATGATTTTTCCTCCTGAGGTTTTGAGAAGACAAGCACATCTTCTCTTACACAATGTCATCCGGTTACATATCACTGCAGTTCACAGCAGATGTCATCCATCTCTTTTATTGCTGCTTTCTGACCCGTTTCCAAGCTCAAAAATAGATATTATTTGCACCACAAACAAACACAGCAAACCTTGCTTGCCGGGGCCTGGACAATCCAGTATTTATCGGGCAAACAGACAACGTCCCACTGAGAACAACTTTTGTTTCAGGTGGACACACAGGCCTGTCTGAGAGGACCAACCAGTCAAATTGGTTGGAGGGTGGAGGGGGAGGGAAATGAAAATCAGAAAAAATAAGATGGGTGATTCTCTGCAAAAAGCCATAAATAACCTGGACATATTCTGGTTAAGTGGACTGCAAATAAAAGCCACCGACCGACACACTCTATAACACTGATCTTACAAACACTGCACTGACACACATTGAGAGGAACTTACACACATTGCCACATATATAGGTTACCACATACTCAACGCACCCTCCCCCAGAGAAGCACACAGAGTGAGTGAGTCTATGCCAACACTGCAAGAACCATCAAGCCTGGTTCAGTGCAGGACAAATGCCCTGGGAATCAGACAGATAGTTTAGGTTTATTGGAACCAGACCATAACTATGCTCTGAAGGCTGCACAGACTTTGAATCAGAGACATGCCAGCTCTCTGAATGAGCGCTCTGTTCAATCCCACTTTCCCCCCCACATCACCCCCCCCCGCCCCCCCCCCACCACTTTTCTAATGCACCTCTCATTCTCTTTTGAAAGCCTTCAGTCACTACGCGCTGAAACTCCGGAACTCTGTCCCTCAATCCCTCCACCTTGTCCTCTCCCTTCAAAAGGCGCCTAAAGACCTTCCTTTTTGTTTGTGCTTACGGTCACCTCCCCCCTCCCTCTCCCCCCCTGGCTCGGGGTCAGGCTCCGCCACTGTCAAGCACGCTATATAAATGCATGGTGTTGTTGCTGTCGAAAGCAATAGGGGTGAAAATAACAAAAAACAATACCCTGCCTTTAATATCGTGACGACAAAACATTTCAAAGCGCTTCACAGGATTGTGCTGTAAAGTGTGGTGACTGTGTTTTGTAGGCAAACAGCAGCCAATGTATGCACAGTGACGTCTCACCGACAGCCATGAAACTAAAACTCCAAATTGGCTGCTCTGTTTGCCTATAAATACGGTCATAACACTTTACAGTAAACCCAGTTTATCTGGAGAATTGTCAGCCAGGACACTGGGGAGAGAGAGAGAGAGAGAGAGAGAGAAACTCCCTTCTCTTTTGCAACAGCGCCAAGGGATCTTTAACATCCACCTGAACTGGTCACAGACACGACATCTCACGCAAAGACCACGGCTCTGACGATGCAGCGCTCCAAGACGCCGCGCACTGCACTGGAGCGTCACCCTGGATCTGTGAGCTCAGGCCCCCGTCATGGGGTTGCCCCCCCACCCCCAACCATCGCAGAGCGTTACTGGCTATGTGCAAGCCTGGCTGAGAATCTTCTGGGCAAATCCCTCTCACTTCACAGTTGCACGCGGTTCCCCGCTGCGTGCAACCCGACGCGCACGGTCAGTCATTACACACATACACAATCAGTCACTACACACACGCACACAGTCAGCCGCTACTTACAGTCAGCCACGACGCACACAGTCAGTCACTACACACACAGTCAGTCACTACATAGATTCAGCCACTTCGCACACAGTCAGTCACCACACACATACTCAATCAGTCACTGCACACATGCACACAGTCAGCCACTTCGCACACAGTCAGTCACTACACACATACACAATCAGTCACTACACACATGCACACAGTCAGCCGCTACATACAGTCAGCCACGACGCACAGTCAGTCACTACACACACACACACACAGTCAGTCACTACATAGAGTCAGCCACGACACACACAGTCAGTCACTACACACACACACAAAGTCAGTCACTACTACACACGCACACACAAAGTCAGTCACTACTACACACGCACACACAAAGTCAGTCACTACACACACACACACAAAGTCACTACATACAGTCAGCCACTACTCACGCAGTCAGTCACTACGGACACACAGAGTGGGTCACTACACAACTCCAGGGATGATGTGCGGCGCAAAGTTGTGGTTACGATTCCCGTTGTACAGTGATTATTTTCGCTCACCAAACAGACAGTCACTACACTTTGCAGCACAGCCTGTGGATCAACAACAACAACCACCACCACCACCACCAATGACATGTGTGCAGCGTCTTCCACGTCGGGGGCGCACCCCACGGCCCCGGGGACCAAGTGCCGCTGTGAGTAATAATCATTATGATTGTCATTGAACAAAAGCCGCAGTTCACAGCCCAGAGCGCGGGAGGCGTCACCATGGCAACCGGCCCTCAGCATCGCCCCCACAGGCCCGGGAGCAGCGGGAGAGGCTGCGGGCCCGGGCCAACTCCCACCCCCAGGCCCCGGGCCAGGCCCAGGCCCCGGGCACCGGCCCCAACCCGCCCCCCGGCCCCGGGCACCGGCCCCAACCCACTCCCCCGGGCCCGGGCACCGGCCCCAACCCACCCCCCGCCCAGGCCCCCCCCCCCCCCAGGCCCCAACCCCCCCGGCCCGCGACCCCACCCACCCCCCGGCCCGGGCACCGGCCCGCGACCCCAACCCACCCCCCCCAGGCTCCGGCCCGCGACCCCAACCCACCCCCCCGGCCCAGGCCCGCGACCCCAACCCACCCCCGGGCCCAGGCCCGGCCCGCGACCCCAACCCACCCCGCGGCCCGGCCCGCGACCCCAACCCACCCCCGGCCCCGGGCACCGGCCCGCGACCCCAACCCGCCCCCCCGGGCCCAGGCCCCGGCCCGCGACCCCAACCCACACCCCCAGCCCCGGCCCGCGACCCCAACCCACCCACCCCCAGGCCCGGCCCGCGACCCCAACCCCCCCCCCGGCCCCGGCCCGCGACCCCACCCCCCCTCCCAGGCCCCGAGCCCCGGCCCCGAGCCCCGGCCTGGCTTACCCCGTAGGCGGCCGCCATGCTCACGATGATGCCGATGGCCTCGGTGTTGTAGTAGCGGCCGTCGCCGCCCACCACCAGCGTGCTGTCCGGCTCCTTGTCGGGCTCCGCCGCCGCCGCCGCCAGGATGCTCTGGATGAAGTTGTGTGTGTACCGCGGCTGTGTCTCGAACACGACCGTCCGCTTCCTCAGGCCGCTCGTCCCCGGCTTCTGGTCCTGGTACGGGCTGGTCTGTACCCGCTCGATCCGCGACATGGCGGCTGGGGGTGGGGGGAGGCAGAGGCTGGGGAGGGGGAGAGAGGCTGGAGAGGGGGAGAGAGAGGGGCGAGGGGGGAGAGAGGCTGGGGAGGGGGAGAGAGAGAGGGGCAGAGGCAGAGGGAGAGAGAGGCTGGGGAGGGGGAGGCAGAGGCTGGGGAGGGAGAGAGAGAGGGGCAGAGGGAGAGAGGCAGAGGGAGAGAGAGGCAGAGGGAGAGGCAGAGGGAGAGGGAGAGGGAGAGGCAGAGGCAGAGGGAGAGCGAGAGGCAGAGGGAGAGCAGAGGCAGAGGGAGAGGCAGAGGGAGAGGCAGAGGCAGAGGCAGAGGAGAGAGAGGGAGAGGCAGAGGCAGAGGGAGAGGGAGAGGCAGAGGCAGAGGGAGAGGCAGAGGCTGGGGATTAGGCACTGAGAGACACCGTAGGGAGTTTGAGACTGTGCAACTGACAGAGACAGGAGTGACACACACACACACACACACAGGGGAAAGTGAAAGATAGAGAGAGTGAGAGAAAGAGATAAACTACAGAGAGAGAGTGAAAGACACACAGGGAGACAGAGACGGAAAGAGTGAATGAGATAGGGAGACAGAGGAGGGAGGAGGGAAGGAGATAGAGAGAGAGAGAGAGGCTTATACTGTGACAGGAGCTCAGGCACTGAAGGTGATAGCAGTGAGTGGGCGGGGCCCGGGGCACTCATTGGCCCCGCCCACTCTGCACGGACCCCGCCCACTCATCAACGACACGCCCATTCTACACGGCCCCGCCCCTTTCATGTACCGCCCCGCCCCCAGTCTGGCCCCGCCCACCCACGTGGCTCCACCCACACGATGCCCCTCTCTCCACACTCAGTGTCATTGCTCTCCCCCCACTCCCCCCCCCCCCCCTACACACACACATCAGTTCAGTGCCCTCTCCCCCCCACTCCGGCCCAGGGCACGGCAGCCCCTCTGTCGGCCAGATTCCCGCCCGGATCAACGCCCAGTGACTAACCTCAGTCCCACAACCGAACTCAGCACCCCCCCACGCCGCTGGATCAGTGAGGGCAAATTTAGCTAGTGTTACCCCCCCCCCCCACACCCCCCAAACTGGGCACACGTAAGTGCGGCGTGAGGAGAGGATCAGGGCTTGGCTTTAACGCGCCTGGCAAGCTCACATATTAATTAATACCATTAGGAGCAAAACCGATCGGTACACTTTCCGTATTACAGTAAGGCACCTCGGCATTCGAGAGCTTACAGCGAAGGGCAACTGGACTGGGTTAGATTTCGGCACCTGAGTTACAAGCTGTGAATGTTCTCGCCGGAGGACGGTCAGAGAGATCTTTCAACTTGCATTTATATCGCGCCCTTCAGGCGGGGTCACACCCCTGAGCGCTTGATCTTAGCAAAGGTAAAGATCAGTAAAGATCTTAGTAAAGGATTCGCGGTTTAGATAAAGAGCGAACGCACTGGATTTCAAGATTCTCATCCTCACCTACAAGGCCATTCACGGCCTCGCTCCCTCCTACCTCTCCAACCTACTATCCCCCTACCTACCTGCCCGTACCCTCCGTTCCTCTGGCTCCGGTCTGCTCCACATCCCCCGCCCCAACCGCCCTACCATCGGTGGTCGGGCCTTCAGCCTCTCAGCCCCGAGGCTCTGGAACTCCATCCCCCAGTGCCTTCGCCGCCTCCTCCCTTTCCTCCTTCAAGGCCGGTCTCAAAACCTGTCTCTTTGACCGTGCCTTCAGCTCCCCTCTCGACTCTCTTCCCCCTCTCGCTCCTCCCTTCCCTCCCCTCACCCTGACATTTCCCCCTCCTCGCTCCCTCCCTCACCTGACCATTTCCCCTCCTCGCTCCCTCCCCTCACCCTGACCATTTCCCCCTCCTCGCTCCCTCCCTCCCCTCACCCTGACCATTTCCCCCTGCTCGGGTCATGACCCAACTGTGCAGCGCCTTGGGACGTCCTCCCGACGTGAAAGGCGCTTTATAAATGGAATCTTGTGTTGTTGTTAGATAAAGCGAACAGCAATAATGTGTTTAACATGGTCACAAACTCCTCAACAAGGGGAGCTCGGGCACCGGTTCAGGGGAGGGACAGTGAGCAAACAAGTCAGAGGGACTGATTTTATATAGCGCTCTTCACACAGGGGTAGTGTCTCAGAGCTGCACACAGAGAGCATGTGGAGTGGATGCTCCAGGGAGGTGATGGAGGCAGAACACTTAAAAGGGAATCGCCATGTGTAGGTGGGATGCATGGAATTCTCAGTGTGGTTTGGAGATTCTTAACCATGGTGATGGGTTTCCACATGCATCAGATACCCGGCTGACCAAAAAGCAGGAATTGGATAACAATTTGCTGAAGAAATCACTATGAGGCAGTGTGTGTGTGTGTGTGTGTGTGTGTAGGTATCTCTGTAACTTTCTCTTCCTATGTACACTACGCTACTTCACTAAGCTAGAAAATGCTAACGCTTGGTATCAGACTAAAACAGTCTCCGTAAGAGCAGCTGACATTTAGTGCATGGGGTTACAATTTCAGTGCAAAAAGTCAAAGAGCTAAGGAATCACTGGAAGGTTAAAGTTAGCCTCGGAGACAACTTGCTGCCAACACTCTGGAATCCCAGCGTAACAGAAGCAGGCTTTAAAATAACCAGCCGTCTGTTATCTTATTCTAGTCTTTCTCTGTTCCAAATGCAAAAAGTGGGCTCGCTGCGAAAGCACGCAGGACTCGGCTCACATAAACCAGCATCTTCCTAAAGTTTGTCAGAAAACTAGACTGTAATATTAGCTTGGGTGACCAAATTAATAATAATGTAGTCAATCCACAACAGTTTGTGCAATTGGCTGCCGGGTTTCACCCGCAAATATAGTCAATTCACTTTACAGTATATTTTATGAAGCACTTTGAGACGTCTCGAAGATGTGATATGGCGCTATATCAAATGCAAGGATTATTATTATAATATATTGATAGAGCGCAGACCATTTGGCCATTTTTTTCCTGGTGTCCTGGCCGACAATCCACCAGATAGAATCGCTCATCACGTCATGGCAGTGTGTGGGACTTTTCTTGGGCAAATGGCTGTCATGTTTTGTCTTGTCAAACTATAAAAAAGCAAGTTCTTTCACTCTTTCCTTGACTCTTTCAATTAAACATGTCCCCTGAAGTACAGTATTAAATGATGGGCTTTTTCTACTTGATTATTAAATAAGTCTATATCAGTTGCAGTGTTACAGCATGATAATCACACACACACACCGAACTGACCTGAACTGGTACAGAAACAATCAGACCATTTATAAAGATGACCATTTATTTCCTTTATAAAAAAAACATTTAAAAACACATTGGTGAAAATAAATTTGTGATAATTATAATGTACGAATTATTATTCTGGCCAACAATCCTTCGGATAAAATCGCTCATTCACTTCATGGCTCATTGTGGGACGTTGCTGTGTGCAAATTGGCTACCGTGTTTGCTCACAATACACACGGTCACTACACTTTAGAATATATCCTGTGAGACGCTTTGAGTCAACTCAATGGCATGATAAGGCACTATATCAAATGCAAGGATTATTATTATCATCGCTTCAGAACATGATATGAATATGTAAAGTGCTCTCTGCCTCACTCACTGTATCAAACACCTATTTCCTTTGTTCTCCTTTCAGACAGGCTTACAGTGGAACATCATGCTAAAAAAAATCACTACAGACAATGCTAAAATAAAATTTTAAAAAATAAGTTGGTCACTTAATCCATGACTGTTTGTGGGACACTGTTGTGCGCCATTGGCCTCTGCATTTCACACACAAAATATACAATCAATTCACTTTACAGTATATTCTGTGAAGCGCTCTGAGACATCTCAACGACCTGATATATTTAAAAAAAATAATATGATCACTTCAATCCACGACTGTTTGTGGGACACTGCTGTGCACAATTGGCTGTCGCGTTTCGTCCACAAAATATAGTCCATTCACTTTACAGTCTTTTCTGTGACGCTCTTTGAGACGTCTCGAAGACGTGAAAAGTGCTATCTCAAATGCAAGGATTATTATATCAAATGCAAGGATTATTATTATATTCAAAGATAAAAATGGAAAAAGAGCAGGCATTTGATTAGAAACATGGTGATGGACTGCCAACCCCACCATCCCCCCCAAAAAACAGCCACCAAAAACAGTAGATAGAAAGCATCTGAAAATGGTGCTGAGTTAAAATGAGTTTAATTGTACCACTCTCTGGAACTCCATCCCGGAGTTGCTCCAACTTATTCCTCCCTCCCTCATCACTTTCAAGCTCTGTCTCAGGACCTACCTCCGACTGCGTCTTTGCTTAGCTTCCTCTCCCCACAGCTCTTGGGTGTCATTCCAGGATTGTTAAGTGGCTCGGGCTGTCCTACCGGAGTGAAGTGAAATGCCCTGTATAAATGTAAGTTTGTATTGCATTGTACATAGCTATTATCCCTGTAAATCGATCAGCCTCTGTACACAAGTCAGGCACAGGTGACATAATTTACAGCACTCCCCCTGCTGGCCCAGAGGGTAATCACAGGCCTGGGGGTTGGTTTGATGTAGAATCAATCTCGCTATCTGCTGAGTTACTGAGCTCAGCTGCCGCCTCTGCCCCCACCCCTCCCCACACACTTAGGTTAGGGAGGGGGAAATCAGACATTTGAAGAAGTTCTAATGAGGTGTAATTTGGGTAATGCGCTCAGGGATGCGTAGAGGGCGCTATATAAATGCAAGTTGTTGCGGCTGCTGCTGTTGTCATTTGTCGTGTGTATTTAGAATCGATATTCAACGTGTCAAAAGAATAAGAACACAAATCCTCATTAAATCAGCAGCCAAAAGCCGTGATCTACCTGTCAAACACAAGTCATTGCCAGGGAGATCCGAGGGGAGAAGACTCCAGCATATTCATGGTGATTACCAGCTAAATATAAACCTCAGTGTAGAGCTATGACTGTTATAAACAGGAGTCCTATCCCCACCATGTAACAATCAAGATTTGGAGTTGAGGTACAGATCAGCCGTGATCTAACAGAATGGCGGAAAAGGCTCGTGGGGCTGAATGGCCCACTCCTGCTCTTATGTTTCTAAAACTGATCTTCTCCTTCAACTCATTGGTTCCTAGATTTAAGACTGGAACTCATTCTAGACTCTTACGTTCTTCAAGACTCCTCTGTCCCTCACTCTTCTGTTGCTCTCCACTCCACAGGATTCCACGCTCTTCCCTTCCTCCTACACTCTACAGCTCTCCTCCCTCACTCTTCCCTTTCTCCTATATTCTACAAGCTTTTAAATAGCCCAGGGCTTCCAGTTGATTTAGCCAGGCTAACCATAAGGGGATACAATTGCTCTCCATAATGTGGTTGAGTGGCTAACTGCAGGGTTAGCAGGTGAAAAGGGAGAGAAGGTGAGGCAGATGAGATGGAACGTCAGTCTTCACGCCTGCTGTGGACACCTGGCACTGGGTGAGGTGCCATGTGTGGGCCAGCCCAGACAGAAGCTGGCAAACACAGCCCAACGGCAGATGGTTCCTGAGACACAAGCCCATGCCATCTGTCATGGACGAGCACAGTCACCCCCTCCCTCCCTCCCCCATGTCCCCCTGTTCTCCAGTCCATTCCAGCAATAATCTTCTATCTCAGCTCTCTGGTATCTTGTTGCACTAGTTTAGAAATTATGTGCAAATGCCACAATCTCTCAAAGGCTTGAAGGGAGGGAAAGAGGGAGGGAGACAGTCACTTAGCGCTGCACTATGATCCCAGTGTTTGCTAGTTTGCCTTATGCTGAACGACTCTGAAGAAACATGATTATACCAAGCAATCAAGCAGCAAATAAATGAGATCGATTAAAACTACATTAGGAGGCAGGGACACACTCAGCGCCAACTTAATTACAAGCCTGTGCACTGGGGCAGCGGCTAGCAGGCAGACACACACACAGGCCGGCATTACTCCTCTCCTCCTCCTGTCCCCACTCCCACGTCAGCTCACAACACGCTCGGTGCAGCTGTACGTCCAAGCCAGCCTCTCGTCCACTGGCATCACATGTTGGCAAACCTGAAAACAGGATTATATATTAACTAACGCTCTAGTGTAGTACTGGGGGGAGTGCTACATAGTTGGAGCCTGTGGTCGTTAAAAGATCCTGTGACATGTCGGAAAAGAGAAGGTATAAGGGAAGAGCCCTTGCCTACAATCTTCCATTAATCTGTCGTTCACTTCCCGGCTCTGTGCGCGTGAGTGTGTGATTTACTGCAGGCACTTACATAAAGTCACTACATGTGACAGTAATTCCAAGGGAAGTGCTTGGAAATCTTTTGACGCGATAACATGCTATAAAATTGCAACTTCCTTAAGTTCTTTCTCCCATCTCGCTCACACCTCTCGATTGATTTTGTTACCAAACCACATACTCTCACCCCTGGTGAACTTGCCTATGTAAATTGTAAATGTGTTGGTGAAGTGCCGGTTACTGGTACGTTGGTTGGTTTGTGGTATGTTTTCAGCATTTGATCTATAATAATAATCCTTGCATTTGATGCAGCGCCTTATCATATCTTCGAGATGTCTCAAAGTGCTTCACAGAAAGTGAATTGGCTATATATTTTGTGGGCAAAATATGGCAGCCAATTTCGCACAGCAGTGTTCCACAAACAGTCGTGGGTTGATTGAGTGACCAAATTATTATTTTTATTATTTTATTTATGAAGGATTAACAACTGAGTTCCTACTTACTGCTAGGTAAACAGAGCCGTATGGAGTAAGGAAACTTGCCCAATGTTTCGCCCTGCCAGGGAATCAAACCCAAATCCTCTAGCATGCGAGCCGAGTGCTCTAACCACTGAGCTATAGGATTCCACAATTTCAGCACTGAAATCATGTACAAAGATGATTTAAACCTACTTTCCCTATTTAAGATTTTTTTCACTGCACGCCCCCCCCCCCCCCCCACCCTCACATTTTCCTGGACAATTTCGATAAACAGCCCCATAAACGAACAGCATGTCCCCACGCTCTCAATATGCTTTTAAATCGCAGAAATCTGTCTGACAGTGAATCGTAAAGTAAAAAAAGTCAATTTAAACCCAATTTGCTGCTTACATTCTACGCTTTGTAAACAGAATAGAGATCAGTCGGGAGCTCGGAGATGAATATAGGCTCTGATGGCTAATTTCACTTTGGGATGTACAGCCTCGGGAGATGGATTTGTCACATTGCAGCCCCTCCGATGTGTAGACCCTCTCTCTCTCTCTCTCTCTACCACTCGAGAATTAAACACTCAGCCAGCAACGGCTGGGTTCATTAACTTATTTACTGTAACAGATGCAAGCTGATTGAAATGCTACAAGTGTCACCTACACAGCCATCATATTGTGTATGTGTGTGTGTGTGTGTGCGCCTGTCTGTCATGTCTGTCTTTGTATGTGTGCACATGCGTGTGTCTATATGCACACACATACTTGTCAGTGGGCATCAGTGAGTGGGTCCGTGTGTCAGCACGTGTGCTTGTGTGATTGTCAGTTGTGTTTATGTGCGTGTGTGTGTGTGTGCGCATCTGTGCTAGCTTGTATGGGTGGGAGGGAAGGTGCAATAACTGGCAATGTAATAACACTGCAACCAAATTAAATATTAGCTCAGTTAAAAGGGAATTAACAAGGCTAGCTGATAACAAAGCCAGCTGATTTGGGGGAGCTAGCTTCACGCCTGGCACGGCGGCTGAGGATTTATGACTGCAGCATTACATGGCTGGGAGATGCTATTCAGGCCCCTGATCAGGGAATGAAATAGTGGGGAGATGAAACGCTATTTCATCTTGCCGCAGACACTGTTGTTTATGCAAGAACTAGCAAGCGGAGAGTGAACTGCTCGCAAGCTTCACCGATCTGTATTCAGCAAAGTCTCCCGCGGCAACAGTCAATCACCAACAGCAGCAGGTTAGCTCTCTGCACGCAGCCGGTGATTTAGGGTGATTGGCTGCCAGGACTCACATGCACGGTAATGCCCTAAACCTGCACCGCCTTGACTGACCTGCCCGAACTCACTTTGCGCAGGGCTTGCTCTCTTTGTGTGCCAGCGGGGAGCTCTGGGGTATCGCTAGAGACTGGCAATGTCACTCTCATGTCTGGCCTCTTGCATTCTTCTCTACTTCCTAGCCATGGAACGTTATAATAATAATCCTTGCATTTGATATAGCGCCTTATCACATCTTCGAGTCTCAAAGGACTAACTTGCTTCCCCCCTCTCACCCCCCCAATCCCTTATTTCATGCTCACTCCTTCCGCACCACTCTGAAATCAATCTCACTCTTTTCCAGCCTCTCAGATTATGCACCTGTTCACCTTCCTCAATCTGCTTTTTCTCCTACCTCTTCGCTATATGAATACTCCCACCTCCCCCCTCACTGCCAGAAGGGAAGATTGAGGGATAGAGAAGTCGAGTATAGGAGGGAGAGAAGACTTAGGGTGCGGGTGGATCTTTCAAAGGGGCAGCGAACCACAGAAAATAAGCTGCTGAAACAAACAAAATGTAAAATGTGTCAACAAAACAACCTGGATTCATATAGCGACCTTCACGCTGGGTAGTGTCTCAGAGCGCTTAAACACACGTCAAACATTTACTGACAGCTGGAGGTAGAGTGGAGAGCGTAAAAGATTCATACCACGTAGCGATGGAGGCAGATAGGAGGAAAGGGTGGGTGGCTACTCTGTGACTTGTTCTCTCCAAAAAACAGATTGCTGGAAATGAAGAGGCTCAGGGTTATCAGTGTAGTCCTGTAGCTCAGTGATTGGAGCACTTGCCTCACAAGCGAGAGGACCTGGGTTTGATTCCTGGGCATGGCAAAACGTTGGGTAAATTTCCTTACTCCACACGCCTCTGTTTACCGAGCAGTAAGTAGAAACCTGCTTGTTAGTCGATTGGCGGGTCGCTTTTCCAGGGGCTAATAACTCTTTCAACAAAAAAAGAATTTGGTCACTCAATCCACGACTGTTTGTGGGACACTGCTGTGCACAACTGACTGCTGCGTTTCGCCCACAAAATATTCAGTCAATTAATTTTTACAATATATTCTGTGAACTGCTTTGAGAAGTTTTGAAGACATGATGATGCGCAGTATTATATGCAAGGATTATTATCACTAGCCGTGTATACACTGCTCCAGTCAACTGGTGCGTGAGACAACTTACGATAGACGATCGCGGTGCCACCTCCACAGCAAAGACACTGAGCCCCCGGCTGCTGACACAGTTCTTGCTCTGCTCACTGTCGACGTGCACAGTAACTTTACTCGCAGACTGAAAGCAGCATAAAGGCAACAGCAGCAATGATAATAAAAAAAAATCCCTCCCTCCACCACCACCAACCGTCAACCCTCCACCACCACCAGCCCACAGCTCTCCCTCCACCACCAGCCCACAGCTCTCCCTCCACCACCAGCCCACAGCTCTCCCTCCACCACCAGCCCACACCCCTCCCTCTGCCATCAGACCACAGCCCTCCCTCTACCACCAGCCCAAAGCCCGCCCTCCATCACCAACCCACTGCCCCAGATAACCTCTCCTCTCAGTCTCTGAAGTGAATCCTTCACTGTCCATCCCCACCATGAATCACCACTCCCAGAGTGGTAATGGAGGAAGGAGGGTGGAATCAACTTGCAGCCCACAAGGTAACATATTATGTGTGTTTGTTAATTAGCTACTATTGCATCCCAAGTTAAACCATCAGTAAGGCACTATAAACCGTGAAAAGGTTAGAATGTATTAAAGGGCTGACAAGCCACTTACTTTATTTTGGATGACAGTTGAGATGCGAGTCTCTGTCCTGTACGTGTGGACCAGCACCGCCTCGTATCCCTTCATCGCTCTGGCTTCTCCTCTAGCAACGATAGCCTGGCAGACAGCCATGTCCAGAAGGTATCCTGGGATTCCCACCCCCATTGGCCGCAGTGAAGGCTTGCACTCCTCTGCGTAGACGTCAACCACAAAAGGACACGCCTAGACACACCAAGAAAGCAATTACAGCACAGGAGGCCATTTGGAGCTCTCTAATCCCATTCCCCGCTCTCTCCCCATCGTGTCTATGCTGGTGCTCGCTCCCCCACTGGAGCTCTCGACTCTAACCCCATTCCAAGCTTGCTCGTTTCATTTTGTAAACGCTGGGAAATTAATAATAATAAAATAAAGGAAACTAGAGTCTGACATAAGACATATTTACAGGATGATAAATCTTGTCTCAGGGCAACACAAAATGTCATCCTCAGGACCCTGAGAGAACACGACCTGCAGGTGTTCCTAAGAGTGTTAAATAAATGAAGCAATGCTTTAAAGCAGTGGTGGCTAACAAAATAAATGTTCTTGATTGACTGTTTCTTGTGATTTACGCCATAAATCAAGAAATATCCATCAAGAGAAAATTGGAAACAAAACACAGACTCCCCTAGATTAGTGTAAATGTTCAGGGCTGGGGACACTTTGTGACAGCCCCAGGTGTCATCATGGGTTGGCCACCATTGCTTTAACAAATGCTGTAAATGTTAACCAAATATTGAACACCCTCAATTAATGTCAAATAATTGTACGACTCCCTTAAATTCGCTGACACAGTCTGCCTCCCTTTGTGTCCATTCCAATACACTCACTGCGCTCTCTGTATATCCTTGTCACCTTCCACACACTGCTTGGTTTGCATACTGAAGCCCTGCTTGCTGTGAAGCTCATTGGGTGTGTGTGTGTGGGGGGGGGGGGGGGTGGGTTCAATGTCCTGAAGCGCTGGATCAATTGTAAGTGCAGTTACTGAATGACAAGAAGAGATTACCTCGTGCATCTCCAATGCTCTGTTGTAACCCATCGACTCCAGGGTCACCCAGAGATCACTAGGGTCACCATCTCGATCTTTGGCTTCCATTAAATTCAAGTCCATGAAGCCTTGCCTCGTCAGCTCATTCCTCCTCATGTCAAAGTTTTCTGTATCGGACAGATCGTCGCAGTCAGAAAAAACGCACAGTGTGGCTGTTTGTGGGACGCTGCTGTGAGCAAATTGGCTGTTCCCCACAAAATACAGTCACTACACTTTAAATTAAATCCTGTGAAGCACTTTAAGACACCTCCCCATGCAAAAGGCACGGTACCAAATGCAAAAATGATTTTATTTATTTTTAAAACTTTTGTACCAGCACAGATACAATGGGGAGAAAGCAAGGAATGGGATTAGAGTAGAGAGCTCCAGTGGGGGAGCGAGCACCAGCACAGACACGATAGGTGAATGCTGTAAATTGTTTGATTCTGTAATATTTATGCCCTCCAGTATCATGCCCTGTGGATGTTATTCATGTGCGATCTTAGAAACGTGTCAGCAGCATACCTGACAGCAGGTGGAGGCGGGGGAGTGGGGCGGGGAGAGGAGGGGGCGTGAGTGAAGAGAGGGGAATGGAGCAAAACACAAGTGGTCAAGAGATGTGTGGGGGACGAAACCTCTATGGCCCATTTAAACTTTTCCTTCCAGGTCCCCCACCTTGAGCTCTCTGCTCTAATCCCATTCCCTTGTGTTCCTTACATTTGATACAGTGCCTTACACATCAGGAGGGTGGCTTAAGGGTTCACTGTAAGTGTAGTATTTTGTAGGAAAACCTTCCTGTCTTCTCATTACAGTATCATTCCTTAACAGACTGCCTGCATCAGAGAATCACATCCAAACTTCCCAAAGGGATATACTCGTAGCGTAGCAGTTAGTACACTTGCCTTGCAAGCGAGAGGACCCAGGTTCGATTCCCAAGCGGGCGAAACCTTAGGCAAGTTTTCTTACTCCACACGCCTGTTTACCTAACAGTAAGTAGGAACCCGGTTGTTAGTCGATTGGCAGATCGCTTTTCCGGGGGTAATAATCCCTTCAAAAATGATTTTTAAAATAATAGTAATAATTTAGTCAGTCAATCTACAGCTATTTGTGGGTCACTGCTGTGCACAATTGGCTGCTGCGTTTGGCCCACAAAATATACAGTCACTACACTTTACAGTATATTCTGTGAAGCACTTAAAGACGTCTCAAAAACGCAATAAGGCGCTATATCAAATGCAAGGATTATTATTATATTATTACCTGTAGTTAGTAAGCAAGCTCACCTGTGCAGATACCCCAAGCCTCCCGATCACACTCCTCCCCACTGGCCCTCAACTCAAACAGGTTATACTCCTCCAGGCTCAGCAGGCCGTTCCCATCCAGGTCGATAATCTCAAAGATGTCCGACAGGGCAGCCCTATTTCAGGAAAGGTCAATGTGATGGAGCTCAGAGTGGGGTGAGGGGGGTGGAGGGGAAGACAGGCAAAGTCTCCATAATCTTTTACCCATCTGTCCTGAGCCTCTGGCTCACGGGGTACCCGAGAGGGTCCCACCTTATGTGTCTGTTTCTCGTGGGTGAGAGTCAACACAGGGTGGGGAATCACAATCCTTTCCTCACCAAACAACCATACACACACACACACCATCCAGGGGTGCAATCAGGAGAAGGGAAACCAGGTTTATCCCCCACTCCACCCACACTCGTGGATGGAGTGCTAAGACCAATTGTAAGCCTGAATGTTGTTCCCGATGAGATCAGCCACTCAGTACAGAGTGGGGCTGAGATCAGGCACTTGAGGGGTGGGGGCATTGGTCTTCCATATGCGTACAGTTTAATCCCACACCAGACAGTGCGTTATGTTGGAAAGTCAGCGAATGAGGAGCACATTATAATTTTATGTGATATGATTTCAGCTCACCTGAAGTCCTGTGTGAGGGAGAGCTCTCCTCCTGCCCCCCACTGGATCAGGCTAGCCTCATGGGGCACCTCTCGCCTCCTCGCTCCCAGACTGCAGCCCGAGGTGAAGGGCAGCAAGTGGTACTCACCCGCCTGGAGCCTTCCCTTCCACCCACATCCCTGTAACAGAGCAGAGTACAGCAGTGAGCGGGTGATGGGTTCGGGGCCCGGCTATCACTGATCTCCGTTCAACAGCACAGAGAGGATTAGATTTTTGAAGAGGAGGAATATCACAGGTGTGCGGAGCGAGCAGGAGAGTGGCTGGTGTTTGACCCCTCACGTGTCCAGTCAGAGGAAGAGAAGCCTAACAACTCTTGTGTCTACCGACCGTAGCACAGCAACGCAGCACAATGCCACAATGCAGCACACCACACCGCAGCCATGCAGCACAAAGCAGCAAAGCACCTGGCCTCCTGCGGAGCTGCTCAGAGGAAGCTCCAGGCTCCATCGCTCTCTCCTTGGGGGTGTGGCAGCGACGGCAGGAGGGGCAAGGCCGGTGAATTGAAGCAAAAATGGGGGAAGTAATGCAGAAGGAAGAAGAGGAAAGTCTCCACATTAAACCTCAGGGCTGGCCATGGAGCACAGCCACACACGTTACCGACTCCGATCTCTACACATGTACACCAGCCATACACGTTACCTCCACCCCAGTCTCTACATATGTACACCAGCCATACACACTACCTCCCCACTGATCTATACACATATACACTAGCCACACACGCTATCTCCCCACTGATCTCTACACATGTACCAGCAACACATGCTGTCTCCCCTCCAATCTCTACACATGCACAATGGGTAATAGACAGCGCAGGCATACCAGGCGCCAGAGTCGCACCTGAAAGGATTTAACCTGGATTTATCGCTAACCTCTTTGTCCCGGAGTTCAGCAATGCACACAACCTCCAGGGCTTGGGAATCAGCCTGCCTCCTGACACGTACAGCGAGGTGTCCACACTCATCCAAGGAGACTGCTTTCCTGAGAGGACAGGACGGGAAGACACGTTGTCAGAGGCACGAGAACAGACAGAAACTGATAATTCCACAAATAGTAATAATAATCCTTGCATTTGATATAGCGCCTCATCACATCATTGAGAAGTCTCAAAGCGCTTCACAGAATATAATATTAAGTGGAGTGACTGTATTTTCTGAGTTTAACAAGCCAGCCAATTGCGCACAGCAGTGTCCCATGAAGAGTCGTGGAGTGAATGACCAAATTATATATATATTTTTTGGAGGGATTATTACTCCCGGAAAGCAATCCGCCAATCGACTAACAACTAGCTTCCGACTTACTGCTAGGAAAACAAAGGCGTGTGGAGTAAGGAAACTTACCTAAGGTTTCGCCCTGCCGGGAATTGAACCTGGGTCACCTCACTTGAGAGGTGAGTACGCTAACTACTAGCGACTCAGGACTCCATAAGTGGAAATGCCACAAAGTGCTTCATATGGAATTACTGCCTGGAGTTAATGGTCCCCTCAGTGAAGCACTTTGAGGCATCTCAACGACGTGATAAGGCGCTGTATCAAATGCAAGGATTATTATTATGATTGCTATTTTAGCATGGCATTGTCAGACCATTAAGGTTTCATGAGTGACAGCCAGTGAGTGTAGTGACTTTTCTGACCGGCGATTGATCGCGGCAGCCCCTGCGCTCCGGCACACAGAGCCGGCAATGCGGCACGTCCCTTCTCCCCGCCTGTCACTGTCCCTCTCTCCGGCTGCACGCAGTGTGAGCAGCCCATGTATTATTTAAGAGCGCATAACAGCGCAGAGCAATACATTTTGTTACCTTTAAAAATGTAGAGTTTTTTATACATATTTTACTAATCTGAAGGAAGCCCTCTTGCGCTTGGCAGTTGTAGGCTCACAAATCTTCCTAACTGCGGCCCATCAATCAACCGCTCCAATCATTCACTGGCTGAGAAATGTGGCTTCTGTGCTTTCATTACTCACTTCTTTATGAATTTGGCCTGAGATGGTGCTGGGATTTCAGACGGGATATTTATGATGCGAGAATGGAGGGCAGGCTAATTTTTTTGCCTCATAATTTCGCCCCCTGTAAAGTATGTTCAAATCACGGCCTCGACCATTTCCAACACCTCATTCATTTTTGATGTTTTATTCAGCACGCCGTAATCTAGCATCGTTTGAATTCTAAACAACTTGCCGCGCAGTAAGTCTCTGTCACACAGCCGGGCAATCGCTCTCCTGTATCTCGAAAGTTCCCGCAAGGGAGAAGAGAAAGAAAAGGGGATTTGATTCTCTCTGCAACCACCCGCTCCCCCTTCACCAAACTCAAGAAGGGTCACACACTGCAGGCTGACACTCCAAAGTACTAGGGGAGAAAGGGAGTGTTGCACAATGCACCACTCATTGTGGGTTCAAGACCCATGTTTCACACCGGGACTTTGAGCTCACAGCCTAGGCTGATGCTCTATTGCGCTGCATTGTCAGAGTGCCATCCTTTGGATGAGATGTTCACCGAAGCTCCCCCATCTGTGCCCCATTCACGTGGACGTTAAAGATCCCACAGCACTAGTCAACGGAAGTTTATCTCTCCCAGTATCCTGATCTACATTCCCCCAAATAAAATCAGTCGTTCAGTTCATCGCTGTTTGTAGGACACTGCTCTATGCAAATTGGCTACCGCATTCACCCACAAAATACACAGTCACTACACTTTACAGTTCAGTGTACGAACCCTGGTCCTGGCTGAGGTTGAATGTTCTGATGGAGAGAAAAACGATGGTGGTTTGTTGCAGCTCCAACCTGTACCAGTGGCTGACAATCCCACCGTCATCATCCAGGTAGAAGCAGCCCTTCAACCGTGCCCGGGGCCAGTCCTGGGTGTGCAGACATAGAAGCCAGAGTGAGAGTGCAACAACAACAAATTACATTTGTATATCACCTTTCATGTCGGGAGGACATCCCAAAGCGCTGTACAGGAGGAGGTGACAGGTCAGCCCAGCGGGTTTGTCCACTCCGACCAGTTCCTCTAAAGCTCCCTTTTATTACCAACTCCCACTCCAACTCTCACTCCCCTCAGTGCCCTCACTTCTCAGCTGTTTATCCAGGTCCCTTTTGAACGAGTCTATTGATCAGGGCTCAGCAGCCGCTCGTGGGTATGAATCACAATCCCTGATAGGCTCTGAGTGATAAAAGTCCTTCCAACCTCCTAAATCCCTTCAATCTCATCCTAAAAAATAATAATACTTTGGTCACTCAATCGATGATTGTTTGTGGTACACTTCTGTGCACAATTAGCTGGCGGGTTTCACCCACAAAATACACAGTCAATTAATTTTACAGTATACTCTGTGAAGTGCTTTGATATCTCAAAGACGTGATAAGACGCTGTATCAAATGCAGGGATTATTACTATTATTATTGAATCCAAATGAGGTCACCAAACCCCAGAAGAGAGAATAGAGAGTGAAGACTACTTCTAATGGATGATGAATGGATGATGAAGGACAACAACAACAACTTGCATTTATATAGCGCCCCTCATGCAGGGTAGGGTCCCAGAGTGCTTAAGCACACAAGCTCAGGATTGCCACTGGAAAAGTCTAGAGGAGGAGAAGTCGTGTCTTGTTTAGAGATAATGTTGCCAATTGTCTGATTTAGGACCGGAAAGACCAATTATAATAAGAAGAATAGTAATAATAATATTATTGTAAAAGGGTGTTGTAAAGACAGAAGGAATCAGCCACTTTCCAAAGGATTGCCCTCCAAGTACTTTCACACACGTCCATCAGGTGGCGTTGGCCACAATCCTGCAGATTTGCACTTGGGAAAGTTTATGCAGTTCAGCGAGCTCATGGTGGCGTGACCGTGAATTATCACAGCCCCAGAGAGGAGAGTTCCTCCCAGTGTCCCGACCAACCAGCTCAATACATTTCCCATTCGCTTCAATGGCTGACGGTATGCGTCCAAATTGTCTGCAGTTTCTAAGCTTCACAGCAATTCCCCCCACCCAGAGCTATGAGAGAGTTTGACACTGTAATCACTAACCAAAAGCAAGGAATATACTATTGCTATTATTATTACAAAACAAGCTCCACGCAAACTGACTGCCTTGTACACCTACAAAATGCACTTTACAGTAATATAATAAGCCCTGAATTTGATATAGAGACTTTGAAACAGTTCAAGACATTATATTCACAATATATCCTGTGAAGCGCTTTGAGATATCCTTGTGATGTTGTGAAAGGTGCTGTCTTTCACGCTTTACTCCATGTGAAGGGCGCTATATAAATGCAACCTGTTGTCACATCAATTGTAAGGATCATCATTAGTATTAATCATCATTATTGTTATTAAGAATAATGATTATTATGGCGGATAATGGCTTAGTTATGGAAAGGATGAAAAGATCACTTTGCCTCTCTATTTAAACTGGAGTTGATCAAAATTCCACCCTAAATCTTACAATTTAAGATGATTCACAAGCAGGCAACATTCTTAAATTTTGTCCTAATTTTCAAGCTGGTTTCTTTTTAAAGAAACCAGCATTTTAAAGAACAAACTGTTAACTGCCAAATGAAAGGTTGAATTCAAGAATTTTCCACAATTGAGCATGCTGCAGTAGATTTTAACACAATGAAAGGTCTCGCGGCTGAGACTGGGTGTAATTCTGGGTCCCCACGAGGTCTGATTGATGAAAATCACTGCGCAAGTCTGTTGCGTGATTTACAAGTGTAATGCAATCTGTCTTAGCTCTCTGCGACAAATATCCTGCATTAGGTGGACCATTGGCACACAACAATAACAACAACAACAAAAGTCACAGCATCTGGGGCAAAAATAAAAGTCAAGACAGATCCAAACATCGGGAGATAGACTGCAGACACACAATCCATCCTGACAATGCATTGCCACATACGTCAGATAACTCACAGCATACAATCTACAAGCGAGCAGGAACGCACTGCGGTTTAAAAACTTTGCCCTCCGTGCATCCGCTCACTAAACACAATTTCTGCCCGTACTGAGATCAGCTTTCAGAAGAGCTGAAAGCTAGTTTTTGACTAAAGCTGCAGTCCAAGCTCCTGTCAGTCCACCTGCCTGGCTCACAGCCCACCTCATGACATTCCAGTGCAGTGCAGTGCTGGGGGGAGCGCTGCATGATTGGAGGAGATTGTTAAACCAAGCTCTTTCAACCAGTTGTAAGTGATCCTGTTGGAAAAGAGAAGGGAATTTCTCCCAGCGTCCTGGCCAACAATCCCCCAGATTCATTGCTCATTCACCTCACAGCCTAGAATTATACAGTCACTACATTTTACAGTAAAATCCGATGAAGCCGTTTGAGACATCTGGACGATGTGACAAGACGCGATATCAAATGCAAGGATTGTTACATACTATTAAAATAGAGAATGGGGTTTCTTAAAGCTGGATAAATCTGAGTCTGATTGTCTCCCTCCTCCCCTTTGGCTATCCTCACTAAACGCGTGCTCACGTAGTGAATGAAACCGAAACACTGCACTTTCTCCATGAACTGTGGGAGCATGGCAATACTGTAGTTAGAGCACTCGCCTCGCAAGTGAGAGGACCTGGGTTCGATTCCCAGGCAGGGCGAATCAAAGGCAAGTTTCCTTACTTCACATGCCTCTGTTTGTTTCGCTAGTGGGAACCCGGTTGTTAGTTGATTGGCGGATCGTTTCTGCAGGGGTAATAACCCTTTGAAAAATAATTATTTTTAAAAAATTGCTATGTGCAATTGGCTGCCGCGTTTCTCCCTCAAAATATACAGTCAATTCACTTTACAGTATATTCTGTGAAGCGCTTTGAGACAACTCGAGGACGTGATAAGGCACTATATCTAATGAAAGGATTATTTACTGTTATTATTATTATTACAGCGTTTTGCTGTCTGGTTCAACCACAACAAGGCTTTGAAGTGAAAGACTGAGCGCTCCTGGCGTCAGATGTAGAGGTTCTTTTGGTGGAGGCTATTACTGGGATGGAATTATCCACGGGGAGCCTGAGGGTATAATTACTCGGAAGGAAAACTGTGAAATACTGTCCCTGAGAGACGCTGCTCTCAGGCATTTAATGTGAGGGGGTGGAGGGAACTGTGACAATTTTTCCGGTTTCATCATATATTTATACTGCCTTTGTGTAGCTGGGCCTGCGCTGGAGGGAGGGAACGAGGGGGCACTCAGAGAAGCAGCTCCACATAATCAGCGGACAATCTGTACCCCAAAGTCTCCCGGCGCCCATTCACAGGAAGACGGCAACATTCGGCAATTTCCTCCCGGACTACTTACAGCTTTTATTGCACTCATTCAAGGAAAGGAAATTCAACCCACGTCCAGAGATGGAAGGAAAGTGTGTAGGAAAAGGGAGGGGGGGGAAAAAAATCAACAGCAACACTGTACAAATATTGACTCTGCTAAGTCAATAGCATGTTATCTGCACCCCTTAGGAACGAAAATTGAATGAACGAGAATCCGGGTTTGTGAAAGTTACAGCGTGTGGAATCAATCGTTCTCTGTAATTAAGAGAAATTCTTTCCACTGTAATATGTCCGGGGGGCCGGGGGCGTGGTGGTGGTGGGGGGAGGGGGGCCTCTGGGGCCACGGGTCACAACACCGAGGATGGAATGAGCAGGAAAGACAAGGGGATAGATTAAAGCCTGAAGATGTGTAGGAAGAACATGGACAGAGGAGAAAGCTGAGGGATAGAGACTCATTCTGTAAATCTCCTGATGAAGCAGTATTTCCCTTTAAGCAAACTTCTTATAACTAGTCATTTGCATTTTTGTATATATACATAATATAATAATCCTTGCATTTGATATTTTTATGGCATCTAAGTCACATTTAAATGCTTTGTGAGTAATCCACTGTCACATTTTTTGCATTTTGTGGGCAAACACAGTAAAGCCTCATAGTAATACTTGCGTTTGATATACCACCTTATCATGTCTTCGAGATGCCTCAAAGCGCTTCACAGAATATGGTGTAAAATGAAATGACTGTGTATTTTGTGGGCAAAACGTCCTACCTGAAGGATAGTGCCTCCAACAATGCAGCGTCCACCCCCAGTAACGTGAGAGCTCAAAGTCCTGAGCAGTGATTTGAATTGCTTTTATTTTATTTCATGTCATTTTATGTAGCGAAAGTGCTGCACTTTGAATAAATGAATAGGCAGGATTTTTTTTTTATCTGCGCTTTGTACAAAGCTATAAAATTTCATCAGACTGCTTCAGATTTTATTGTAAGCAAATTAAACTTTCCCTTCTTCCTTTAGTTAAAAAAAGGCTGAGGCGGATAATCAGCTGCTCGTTTCCATTAACCATTCTGCCCCCTGAGCTCCCTGGGAAGTGGTTTGGAATGACTGGAGCAGTTTAACAGCAGCTTACATTCACGTGGCGCTTTGCAACATTATAAAAGAGACTCATCGAATCCCTTTACACAGTGCAATTTAATGAGAAATAAAGTGAATTTTTGCTGTGGAGGCAAACAGAGGCTGCAGCTAATCTGTGCCAGCACCGAACTGCATACAGAACGAATCGCCCACAAGATACACCGTCACTCCACTTTACATTATATCCTGTGAAGCGCTTTGAGATGTCTAAACGACGTGTTAAAGGTGCTATAGCAAATGAAAGGATAATTATTTATTTATGTGAGCACCCAATTGAGTGGAATTTGGAAAGAGTTGGGAATAACGGAGAAAAGGCTGCACATTTATTTGATGTAGAAAGGTCTTAAACATCATCCTGAATGACAGTAAAATCCTGGGAAGCGCTCTTGAACGTTTTATAATAGAGAATTATAATAATAATTATAATTATTTATAATTTAATAATTATTAATTATTATAATATCATAATAATCCTTGCAAATGATACAGCTTTGAAACCTCTTAAAGCACTTCACAGAGTTGACTGTATTTTGTGTGGGCGAAATGCAGCAGCCAATTGCGCACAACAGTTTCCCACAAACAGTCGTGGATTGAGTGAACAAATTCATTGGTTTCAGAGGAGATCCGAGTATTATCTGAATGGAATCATTCACATCCCAACAGAACGAGCAAACAGAAAAACAATCTATTTACCAAAGTGGGAGAGGATCTGCTCAGCTACAAGAGGGTGATTTAACAAAAAAATCTTAAAAAATCAGTTTTTAGCAACTTAAAGTCAATGAAACCTTGAGGAAAAAATATAAGGGAGTCAGGATACTTTTATCAATCTGGAGGTAAGTTTGAAGGGAGATTCCCAAAATGGTGGGCTGTAACATATAACCAAAAAAATGTGGTTAAAAGCTACGAACTGTGACATGAGCGAGAAGGGAAGTTCTCTGATCTTGCACTGGCTCACAGCGAGCTTTACTTCAGAAGGCCACGGTTCCCATGGTTCTGGAATGAAGTCGAGCTTCCCGCTCAAGGATTGTTAAGGAAACACTGGCCACAGTTTTGACAAAGTGATAAGGTACTACATCAAATGCGAGAATTGTTATTACAGTAAAACCTGCCCACAAAATATACAGTCAATTCACTTTACAGTATATTCTGTGAAGCGCTTTGAAGCGTCTTGAAAATGTGATAAGGAACTATATCAAATGTAAGGATTATTATTATTATAGTTCTATCTGTCGTGTACGATTACGACAGTAAGACTTGCATAAGTCTTATCTTTCTAGGTCGTACATTCACCAGACTCCCATTCAGTTTCCTATCAAAATTACTTAAAATTTCTTTGCATGACTCGTATTAATCATCTCCTAACTCGTAACTCCACTCCCCTACCCACCATTATTCTCGCACTTACCAGCTGCAGTGTAGATTATTGATTAAATCAGATTTTATACGACTTATACAGTTTCCCTGTAAATCATATCAAAGTTATGGGCCCGACTGATACAACCTATGTGAGTTTTACTGTATATTATTATCATTGTATCAAAGATTAGAACTGTGGGATGTCACTGTGCACAAATTGACTGCCACATTTACCTATAAAATACTCAGTCACTATACTTTACTGTGAAGCACCTTGAAATGTCTCGACATGAAAAGGCACTATATAAACGCAAGGATTATTATTTTTCTTATTACCAGTCTTCGAAACATCCCAAAGCGCTCCACAGAATATACTGCAAAGTGAATTAAATATATTTTATGGGCAAAACACAGCAGTCAATAGCGCACAGCAGTTTTCCACAAACAGTCGTGGATAATTATTATTGTGTTTTGAAGGTATTATTACCCCATGGAAAAGCAATCCACCAATCGACTAACAACCAAGTTCCTACTTACTGCCAGGTAAACAGAGACAGGTGGAGTAAGATAACTTGCCCAGCCTATCGCTTTACCCAGAAATCAAACCACTCTCGAATGTGAGGCGAGTGCTCTAACGACTGAGCTAATGGGATCCGCTAATCAAATCTGGATTTAAGATATCTCCAACATTCTGCGTGATCCTGGAGTTTTTCCCAGATGAAATGGTCTTTACAGGCTGAGACCAGCTAGAATTTGGGGCCTCGAAAGTCTAATCAAACTTTGTTTTGTAGAGAAAAAGATAGGTGTGATATATTTCTGAAACTCCCAATGCTGGCCAGTGCTGATGTTAAGAGCCCAAACCTACTATGAATTGATTCACCTGCCACTTTATACTGCCACAGCGCAATTCCAGAAGGCTAGTAAAGAACAATGTACCTACAACACAGCTTATGATGTCCTGAGGGCGTCTGTGCTGTTTGTTTGGTGCTAACCTTTCGGCCAATGCTACAAATTACACTGTCCTCATTCTCTCACTCGCTCACTGTGTAAAGCCATTACTCCCACCACACACACATGCAGCTCTCTACGGACAGATAATGCTTCTGTATTCAGTTAGGGGGGAGAGGTGTTTGTGTGATGGGGAGAAACATTCATGTACAGTGAGAAAAACACAATTGTATTGAAATTATTCCGTGATCAAATCCCACTAAATTCATCCAATGTTTAAATTAAGTTTAAATCAAATTTAATTAAATAACATCAGATAAATAATAATAATAATCCTTAAGGGCAGTATAATTTGCAATTGATATAATGCCTTCCAGAAGTCTCAAAGCGCTTTACAGAATATACTGTAAAGTGTATTGACTGTGTATTTTGTGGGTCAAACGCAGCAGCCAATTGCACACTGTCCTTCACACAGTTGAGGATTGAGGGACCAAATTATTATTTATTATTATTTTTGGAAGGGATTATTGACCCTGGAAAAGTGATCCACTATCGACTAACAATCAGGTTCTTACTTACTGCCAGGTAAACAGAGGCGTGTGGAGTAAGGAAACTTGCCCAACTTTTCGCCCTGCCTGGGAATCATACACATGTCCTTTCACTTGCGAAGCGAGTGCTCTAACCAACAAGCTACAGAACAACATACATATCCTTCCTGCTCTGACAGCTCCTGATGACTGCAATCAGATTTGGAGGCTTGTTTATGCAGACTGAGAGTCTGTGTGTGTGTCACACAGGAAAGTGTTACCTGTCTGGATTTGGGCTGGCCCTTCCCCGTGCTGGCTGTCACGCTGATAGTGGGAGACACCTTGTCCCGACGGGTTCGGACAGATGACGGTCGTGATGGGAGGCTGCCATTAGCTGCAACACAGTTGAACAAGTATATAATCAGGTGTTCGGATAAGATACAAGAGGCGCAGGTTCAGGAATGCAAGGAGCAAGTTTTGGAGCTGACACCAGAAGGATTTACACAGCGTGTTGTCACCAATAGCTAGGAAAAGTAGCTGAGGCCAGCACAGTGGGATTCACTTAAGAAATTGTTCAATGCTGTAAAGGGAAAAGAGATCTAATGGACCAAGGGGTCTTCTTCATCCTGAATCACTGATGGTATCGCTCTTGCCTCGGAGTCAGAAAGTTGTGAGTTCAAACCCCACATCAGGGCTTGAATACAGTCCAGGCTGACACTATAATAATGTGTTGGAGGTGATGTCTTTTGGACAAGACATTAAACTCATCCCATCTGCATATTCAAGTGGACATGAAAATTCCATGTTACTCTTCGAAATAAGGAGATTCTCTCTCAGTATCCTGGCCAACATTTCTCCAGATAAACTTGGTTGTTCACTTCATGGCTGTTTGTGGGGAGTTGCTGTGTTCCTCACAAAATACACAGTCACTACATTTTACATTAAATCCTGTGAAGCACTTTAAGACATACTCCCCATGCAATAGGGACTGCATGCAAGGATTATTTTATTTATTTTTATAACTTTTGTGCCAGCACAGATACAATGGGGAGAGAGAAGGGAATAGGATTTAGAATAGAGAGCTCCAGTGGGGGAGCGAGTACTGGAACAGACACGATAAGAGAGATAGCAGGGTTAGAATGGAGAGCTTCAGTGGGGGAGGAAGCACCAGTACAGAAACAATGAATGGGATTAGAGAGCTCCAGTGAGGGAGCGAGCACTAGCATAGACACACTGGGGAGAGAGCAGGGATTGGGATTAGAGTAGAGAGCCCCAGTGAGCAGTGAGCAACAGCACAGACACCACGACAATCTGTCTGGTATGAGCTCCCACTTCTCAACAGCTGTACAGTATTCCTCAGACACACATTGATCAATATCTTCATAAAATAAACCACTCAGAACACTGGAAGCATCGTTACTTCCAGCGGTGATGAAGTTTGACTTGTTTTACTGCCCCCGGGCCGGTGATGTGAGGCTCGCAGCCGCTGAGTTTTCAAACCTAATAGCAAATCGATTTACTTTGTGGCATTAAGCACTTGTCAAAGCTTCCGAAGAAAAACTTGAAACAACATACGAGGCTGAACGGTCATGCTGGCACAAGGAGTACTTGGAGGGTATTGCTCAGTTACATTTCAGTGACACGACCCGCTTGTGTGTCAGACGTGTTTAGTTATTTAGTTTAAACTGTGAGAACACCTTGCTGGATTCTGTTACCGTTGCAGCGGCTGAACAAGATGCGGAGAGAGAGAGAGAGACTGACATTCAAATGGAGTCCTGTAGTGTATTGGTTATAATCCCTTCAAAAAAAATCTGATCACTCAATCCACAACCGTTTGTGGGACAATACTGTGCACAATTGGCTGTGTTTGGCCCTAAAATATACAGTCAATTCACTTTACAGTGTATTCTGTGAAGTGCTTTGAGATGTCTCAACTTCGTGATAAGGTGCTACATCAAAGGCAAGAATTACTTTCATTATTATATTGCCTGCCTACCTGATCCAGTGGTCCTTTCTGCTTCTGAATTCAGAATCGTTCCCAGGGACGCCTTGGGTGATGGGAGGGGGGATGAATCCTTGGGCGGGTTCTCGGGTTCACTCCCGAACTGCTGCCTCTTGCTGTGTGCGTCCCTGTCCATCCTCACCAGTGCTCTCCTCTGACATTCCTCCACCGTCCCTACAAATGACTTGCAGAACTGTGGGATTAACACAGCTCGGCTCAGCCTCTGACAGAAAGGGGTTATACTGAACGCACACGAGCTGGGCTGGGTCGGGCCGGGCCCAGACCTTACACAAAAATAACTATTCTCTCGCTCATAGTCTCGATCAATTTCCTCGTCCAATAGCTAGAAAATCCATTCTGAGTTTGCAAACAGAATCTGCCTCCACCACATGCCCAGGTCAACCATTCCACTCATTCCCCCTCTCCGCGCTCCCTCCTCACTCTCCATCTAAAGTCATAACAATCTCATGTTACACAGCGCTTTTCACTCAGAGGATGATTCCAAGTGCTTCACAGGATTACACTATAAAGTGTAGTGATTGTACGTTTGAGGCAAATGTCATTCAACCTGAAATATCAACCTGATCTGATCGGGTAAGGAGGAAGGGGCCACTGTTGGACAATGAGATAAAATCAGTGACTTACAGAGCTCAGTACTATGCCTGGTTTCTCTATTGCCGAGGCTAGGAGGTTGGGTAAGAGGAGGCCAGGAAGATGTGAGGAGCTGATATTTGAAGACTTGGGAGTCCGTGCTCAGTTACCTCTGAGATTCAGACAGGGCAGGGCGAAACGTTGGGCAAGTTTCTTTACTCCACACGCCTCTGTTCACCTAGCAGTAAGTAGGAACCTGGTTGTTAGTCAATTGGTAGATCGCTTTTCCGGGGGTAATAATTCCTTCAAAAAAAATTCTAATGACAATTTGGTCACTTATTCCACGACTGTTTGTAGGACACTGCTGTGTGCAACTGGCTGCTGCGTTACGCCCACAAAATATACATTCAATTCACTTTACAGTATATTCTGTAAAGCACTTTGAGACATCTCAAAGACGTGATAAGGTGCTATATCAAATGCAAGGATTATTATTATTATTATTGCCTGTGGCAGTGCAGTGTACAGACCAATCAACCCTCTCTCTCTGTCCTCACTTCCATCTTTCAGTGACAAAAGAAAGACAAGATTAACTGCTACAGCTGCAGCTTCTCACACAGCAGTTCAGTGAGATTTAGTGCACCAATGCTAACTCCTCCAAGCCTGCGAAGTCTGCAGCAGAGTATGAAGAGTGGGTAAAATTCTGCTCTGGTCTCAGTGCCAGACTTGCAGTGAATAGTTTGGTATTGAGATGTTTCAGTGAGGATCCCTCTCTGTAAGTACCTTTGCGTAATCCATCTTTCCATCTCCATTCACATCAGTCTCGTATACAATGTCCTTCACCTCCTCATACGTCATCCGCTCCCCTTTCTGCACGGAAACAACGCAGGCTCCATTAAACCAGCATGGAGCGAGCTTTGGCACTCAGAGTGAGGGCGAGACGGGCAGAGAGAGGGTGAAGCGAGCGGGTAAAGGGTGAGGCAGGGGGCAGAGGGAGAGTGTGGCGGAGGGGGCAGAGGGAGGGCAAGGTGAGGGCAGGGAGAGGGAAAGTCGGGGGCTAGAGGGAGGGTGAGGCGGGGAGCAGAGGGAGGGAGAGGTGGGCGTGAAGGGAGGGAAACGCAGGGGTGGAGAGTGAGGCACTCACCGTGGTGAGGAGTGTACACAGCCTCTCGTGTGTTATGAAGCCGTCGTTGTTATGATCGAGGGTCCTGAAGGCTGCCAGCAGCTGGTTGTGGCCGGTGTCCTTCTCTCGTTTCAGGATCTCGCAGAAGTCATCAAAGTTGAGCTGGCGGGTATCCGGCCCCCAGTAATCCCTCAGTGCCCGCCTGGAAGGGTTGCGCCCAGCCTGCTGGAGCACTGCTGATTAAACACAGCCATCAGTGCTGGCACGCTCCCTCCATCACACCCACAGGTATGAGTGGGTGTGATGGAGCAGAGCGCTTCGCGGAGAACCTGAGCTGGTTGGGGGAGCAGGAGGGAGGTTTATATACTGGTATTGAAAGCAACGAGGGAGGGAGGGAGGGAGACAGAGACAGAGATTATTTAGGGAGAATTTCAGCAAGAGAGGACAATGTAAATGAACGTTCGCTCCCTGATCATGGGCTGTAGGGAGAGTAGGAGGGTGGGCAAAGAGGAGGAGGGTTTTGAAACACGCCCTGAAGGAGTCAAGGGAGGGAGCGAGGCAAAGGAAATGTGGGATGGAGTTCCAAAGGGTAGGGTCAGTATTAGATGGCTAATATAAAAAGGTGCAGCCTTAACCTCAGTGGCCCGGGGCAGGGAAACCCACCACCTCTACTGGGGGTGGTTCCCTGCAACCTATAACTGAGAACAAATGTAAACTTGTTTCGCCCCATACACCAACGCCAATCAGACCCTCACCGAGACACAGTTGCTCCCTCGAACTGATATTCTCCAAACTGCTTCTGAAGACGGTCAGGTAGGCTGCGCGGCAGCTCCTGTAGAAAGCTGCCTCTTGGTCGTGCTGGGAGGAGGCGGAGGGTGGAGCTCCAGACCCCAGGGTCTTGGGAGGGGCAGGAGCGGCACCACCGTTACCATCGGACATTCTGAAAATGCACGAAGACATTTTACTTTAATCGGTCTCGCGCTCGCTCTCTCTGCCGCTGTGAGCGTTTGCTCCATGCGCGTCACAGGGCGCAAATTGGGCAGCTCGAGTACCGTGTGGGCAGCCAGTGCGCATTTACCCCCCCCCCCCCCACCCCCCCGCGGCGCGCGTGCCTTTACGCAACAGCAACTGGCATTGGGGTGACCTGATGCCGAGCCCAACGCCAGTTGTCGTCGTCGTCGTTGTCGTTGCGTTACCCCAAACTCCAGCCACGTTGAACATCTTATTAGAAAATATGAACAGAAGGATTGCCGGACGAAAGAAGACCAAAGCCCATCCAATTCGTCTCCCACCGTCCTTCCGTTCCGTACAACATACAGTCACTACACTTGACAGTTCCGCACATCCTGTGAAGCACTTTTGAGGCGTCTCGAAGACGTGAGACAGCGATATATCAAATGCAGAGATTATTATCATCATCATCATCATTATTATTATAATTATTATTATCCTGGCAATCGCAAGCACATGTCCCTGTCCCAACCCACAGTGCACACTGTGTACACTGCGGTGATGTGGAGCCACAACTGCTCGTTGCAAACAAACTACATCAGTAAATATAAACATTTAACGACAGATTAGCTGCGGATATCGGCCTCTCGCCCCGTCTGTACGTTAGATTGTGATCTGCCACGGACTGCTGCAGTGCCGGCCCCTGAGCGAAGGGGCTCCCGTCCTCACCCGCCCCGTTACCTCGCCCGCCTCTAGGCCGCGTTACCATGGAAACCCGCCAGGCAACGCGGGCCTCCCACTCCCAACCCTCCCCCCGGAACAGGAGGCGTCTGAACAATCGTTCCGCCTCCGAGGGCACCGGCTCCCCCCCCCCCCCCAAAAAAAAAAACAACTGAAACTCATCACTCGCCCTGTCCATTAAACCGCAAACTTGGCGTCTCCGGCGGAGATGTCGACGAGTCCTCAGCGTAAAAAGAAAAAAGTCCAAAGGGCCGAGCGGCGCTGATCGACCACTCCGGTATTGTTCCGGCTAACGGGGGCGAGGTTTCCGCCCGGACCCAGCGGGCGGCCGGACACGGACACGGACACTCGGCGCCAAATTGGAGCGCGTCCCCCGGGAGGACGGGATGAAGCCGCGGCGGCCGTGAGTCAATCCTCTCAGTCTTAACCCACTCCAGAGCGAGCGAGAGAGAGAGAGAGAGAGAGAAAGAAAGAAAAAGTGGCCTCTCTTTTCCCCGCTGACGGCGCCGCCCGCGGGAGCTTTACCGTCCGCCTGAGCAGACGCCCCGGGGGAGGGGGAGGGGGAGGGTCCGCAGGACATCTCCAGCTGAGACGTGACCGAAGTCCCATCCCGTCGGGGCCTTCTCCCATCCTGACAGTCACGACCCACGGTCCTGCAGCTGAGTGGTGAGAGCGGTCACCTCGCAAGCGACAGGGCCCGTGGGTTCGATTCCCGGGCAGGAGCTAAAAGTTATTATAATAATGATAATAATAATGATAATAATAATAATAATCCTCGCATTTGATATCGCGCTTTTCACGTCGGGAGGACGTCCCGAAGCGCTTCACAGAAGACACCGTCAAGTGAACTGACTGTATATTTGTGGGCGGACGCGGCCGCCGATTGCGCTCAGCGATTGCCCCACAGACGGCACAAGTTGGGGCAAATTGCTGTTCACCAGCAGTGAGGAGGGAACCCGCTTGTTAGTCGATTTGCGGATCGTTTTCGGTGGGGGGGGGTTATAATCCCCCTCCCATTTTTAAAAAAATGCATAGGGTTATGCAAGGATTATGATTGTTATTATTATATCGTCATAATTCGGACACGCGATCCACCGCTGTTTCGTGGGGCCAAACTGCGATTGCGCCCACAAAATAGCACAAGTCAATTCACTTCACAGTATATCCCGTGAAGCGCTTTGAGACGTCTCGAAGACGTGACAGGGGCGCTGTATCAAAATGCAAGGATTGTTAGTGTTATTATGGAGATAGCAATTAATTGTGTCTGTAACGCAGTGGAAAGCTTTGGGGAACCTGAGGTCCCAAGTTGCCCGGTTCTTCCAAGCATCCTACATTTGTCATATCTCAAATTACTCATATACTATAACCCCAAATATTATTTTCTAAAAGAAATCTAACTAACATGAGGTTTAATGGCACATCTGACACTGTGGTGCCCCCCGGCCTGCTAGGGCCTCGGCCCTGATCCTGAGCTCACAGCCCTTCTAATCCACTTTGCTCGCTTTGTTGCTCGCTCTCAGTCTTTTTCTCCGTTTACCCGCTCCTCCGCACCCCCGGCTGTTTCACTTCATGGATGTTGCCTGTCGCCTGCAAAATACACAGTCGCTGCACTTTCTATACAGTCATTTCGCCACACTTTATATACAGTCAAATCACTTTACAGTATACTCTGAAGCACTTTGATAAGGCTCTATATCAAATGCAGGGCTTATTACTATTTAAAGTGAAGAGCTACAAGACATCCTCCCGACGTGAAGGTGCTCTGCCAAATGTAAGATTATTGGGTCTAAAGTAATACGCTTTTGCTTTATGGCACTTTCTCCTAAAATGTATTTGCTTTGCATTAATGCGCCATGCCCTTAATCCTTCTTCGCGTCTCACTTTTTTTTCTCAGTAACGCCCTTCATCGCTGTGAAGTGCTTTGAAAACCTATGTGTAAGGTGCTGTAAGTCATGGTAGTTTGGATCTTGCCTCAGGGTCAGGAGGTTTGGTTCTCAAACACCACGACAGGACTTTGAGCTCAGTATCCAGGCTAACGCTCCAGGACAGATTTTCTGTTTGCCTACAAATACAGTCACATTTATATAACGCCATTCGTGCAGGGAACCCAATTGTTAGTCGATTGCCAAATCGCTTTCTAAGTGGGGGTAATAATCCCTTAAAAAAACAAGAAAAATAACTGATCACTCAATCCACGATTGTTTGTGGGACACTGCTCTGCGCAATTGGCAGCCGCGTTTCACCCACAAAATATATAGTCAAGTCAAACTACAATATATTCTGTAAAGCACTTTGGGACGTCTCAACGATGTGATAAGGCACAGTATCAAATGCAGGGATTATTATTATAGAGTCTCGAAGTGCTTGCTGTCACTACAGTTGACAGCAATTCTCTCTGAAGCAACATGAGACATTTTCATGTTGTCAGCGATGTATCAGATACCAGCGCCATTATTTCACACAGGGCCAGGCCAAGGACTCCAAACCATAAATGGTTTCAGTTTGTCTTGTAGCTGCTATCAGTGTGATGGCTGTCAGGATCAGTCAGTGACCAGGTCAGATCCCCTACTGCCAGATCAGTGACAGCTCAATGCATCGATTTTTTTTAAAAAAGGAAAAGCTCTATTGCTAATCAATTATAATTGATTGCTCAGCACAGCCTATTAGGTCATTCAACCAATAATTTAACTCAATTAGTCATGCCTCAAACTGACTGTTTGTTTTTAACTAGTGAATGTTGTGCTCATCAAGGTGTGCTGGGGAACTGTAACACTGTCCCTGGGCAGATATCCAGTATCCCATCCAGCACTGCACACTGTCTGACCTAGTCACAGGTTAGAGACAGATTAAAGCTCCCGCTACAAAATACACAGTCTCCGCACTTTAAAATCCTGTGAAGCACTTTGAGATGTTTCGACGACGTGATACTGTGCTATACCAAATGCAAGGATTATTATTCCACTATCCGTCCACACTCCTCAATCAGTGACAGAACGGGCTAGAGATAGACTAAAGCTCCTTCTACACTGTCTGCCCACACTCCCAGGCCAGTGGCAACGCAGGTTAGGTGTAGCGTATTACATAAAGGTTGGATGCAGCCAATTTACCAGCAGCAATGTTCCATGGAGTGAATGAGCAATCTCACGCCCCCCCCCCCCCCCGCTCCAATTAGATGCCCTGCTGATGCTCACTGTGTGGTCTTTAACTAAGGTGCCGGTGGTTGCCAATGGACCCATCCCACAGCACCTTTGTGAAACCGGGGAAAGGCAATTGGAAAACCCGGAATACAACTTCGATTCCCCATTTCCTTTCTTCCCCCACGCACCCACTCACATAGAATCTGCTTTTAAAGATTTAACCTTCTATTATTTTCCAGTAAAATACATTTTTTTTATTTCAGAGTGAAACGGTCCCTGCAGTTGGACAAGAAAAGGGTGAGTTTTGCTCAGGTTTTTGATAAGAGTTTGCTTCCTTCGTACCCGAAACCTCTAACTTGTATGTGTGTGGGGGGTGGGGTTCTAATTTTTGTTTATTTTCTCATTGGCAGGAAGGTGAGACCACTCCCAACAAGAAGCTCCGCCGACTGTCCCCTGCTAAATACTCTCCGATTACTGGGACACACATTCTCAGTTCCTTTACATCCAGGGATGTCGGTCCGGATGATACAAGCACAGGTGCTTGTTATGCTCCTGTCTAACAATAAGATGTTAAACGTTGTTTGTTTAGGGTGCAGCACAGCCATCTTCAATTTCCCTCCTCACTCTCTTTCCCTTCCCCCCCCCCACCCCACCCCCCCAAGCCGGTCGAAAGACATTGCGATAATTATTTTGTCTTTAACGCAGAGAGTTATTTCAAGTTGTTCTCTGTTGATGGGTGGGGTCCTGTCAGGGTTTGTGGAAGTCTTCCCAACGTGAAAGGCATTGTATAAATGTAGTTGTATTGTGTTGTGCAGATGCTGCTGACTTGGCGGTGCAGGCGCACAGAGCGACCACAAGAGAGCAGCAACATTCCGAGGAGAGAGATGAGTGAGTTGGTCAGAATGACCGGGAACAGGCGGAGAGGGGAGGGCAGGGGAGGAGTGAAGGGGGCAATTCCGAAGATCCAATAAACCACATATGCACTTCAGACAATGAACCGTATCCGTGTAACATGGAGAGAACTAGTGTTCCTTGGAATTGGAAATGAAACGTAGAATTAAGTGTGAGCCAGGCGTAGTCACTAAGTCAAAAGTGTGGCATCAATAATAATAATAATAATAATCCTTGCATTTGATATAGCGCTTTTCACGTCGGGAGGACGTCCCAAAGCGCTTCACAGAACACACTGTAAAGTGAATTGACTGTATATTTGTGGGCGAACGCGGCAGCCAATTGCGCACAGCAATGTCCCACAAACAGTCGTAGATTGAAAATGACCAATTTAATTATTGTTTTTTTTTTTTTTGGAGGGATTATTATTAGGCGTGTGGAGTAAGGAAACTTGCCCAAGGTTTCGCCCTGACCTGCCTGGAATTGAACTCAGGTCTCTCACTTGCAAAGCGAGTGCTCTAACCACTGAGCTACAGGACTCCACGTCAAGTCCCATGTCAGGGGGTCTTTGAGCTTACAGTGTAGACTGACTCTCCAGCACAATACAGGGGCACCCTTATGTTAAGACCTTACATTAAATCCAGCTTCTGTCTGCCTGTTCAGGTTGACGCTAAATGTCCCGCGCACTATTGGGAAAGGGAAAGCGTTTCTCCCAGTGTCCTGGTGAACAATCCTCCTGGTAAATTGGCTGTTTACCTTGTGGCTGTGTGTGAGCCCTTGCTGCATATAAATTGGCAGCCACGTTTGCGTACAAATACGCAATTGCTTCACTTGATAGCAATGGCAACGTCAAAAGCAATGCTTTGATGTTACAGGTGCTACATCAGATGCAAGCATTGTTATTATTAGATGCTGTAATGAGGAGAATGTTGTGGGTGGCCTGACCATCTCTCTCTGTTCTGCCACAGGTTCAGTGCACTAAGGTCCAAAGTCGAAGCATCTGTATCGATATTGAAGGCTACCAGAGAGAAGCTGCTGTGTCTGTGGGTCAGTGGGGAGAATGGCTACGGACATCCGTCCTTTGGGAGTGATGTTAGATCCAGGTCCTGTCCGCCAGCTTTTCAGGTGGACTCTAAAGATCTGGCAGCTTGATAGTAAATGAGAAGGCAGGTTTTCTCCCGGTGTCCTAGAATCATAGACATTTACGGTAGATCGAGTCTGCACCAGCTCTTAGAGCAAGGTGCTTGTTTAGTCCTATCCCCAGACCCCTTCAAGCCTCTGACTTTCATATACCCGTCCACTTTGCTTTTTAAACCCACATTGTTGTCCTGGCCAACAATGTCACAGATGAATTGCTCATTCCTGTGTAGGAATTTGCTGTGCACAAAATGGCTGCGGTATCTGCCTACTTAAAGCCTATCATGGTATGAAGAGATGTTTGGAGGTGATACGGAGCTGTAACAGTGCCGGTTCGAAGCCCGGAACCATTGCTGCTTACCATGAGGAGGCATTGGATAGAGAGGGGCAGCCAGGGGGAGGCCTGTCTGATGCTGTTTTTCTATATTCGCCCAGAATTTAAAGTTACAGTGGAGCTCTGTGTGTGAGACCAGCACTGAGTGTCGGCAAGGTGTCCTCACTGGATGTCCACACGCATACATGGACACACCCACACGCACAAACATGTGCCGTCTTCCAACATAGAAAATGAGGTCATCAGCCACCCACAGGTCCAGCTCCAAGAGTCAGCATCACCGGGAAGAGAGGAACTCACAGTTTTGCAGCCTGGTCTGCGACTAAAGTGACACAAGTGGCAGACTAACCTTAACTGACGACTGGGCTGATCTTTCCTTTTCCCCCTTCCTCAGTCTCCTCTGCATGTTAGACAGGGACTGTGCAAGTTTGGCCACAGTCCCCTGCCCCCACCACCGCTGCTAGGTTATACTGAAGGATTTGTTCAGCATGGTTGAGAGTGACTTTGAGAGACCCGTTAGCAGTGAGCGAGTGTGGGATCTCCGACACCTGAAATCCCACCCATTCGGTCTACGAGATATTCTTGCTTCAACTTTAAGGAGATGCAAAATAGTGGAAAATTAATAATAATAATGCTTGCATTTGATATAGTGCCTTATCACTTCGTCAAGACATCTCAATGCACTTCACAAAATATACTGTAAAGTGAATTGACTGTATTCTGTGGGAAGAAACTTGTCAATTCAGCCTTAATTTGGGAGCTGTTTCTTTAAGACGAGAGCAAAACCATGTTTCAATATAAGCTGAATTTTTAAGAATTTTCCACAATTCTGCGGCTTTTTTAAATGTCAACTCAGAAGGGTCTGACAGGCCGGGCAGAATTTGGGGCCCGTGACAGGCGGGTTGTGGAGGTCAGTGCAGAGCTGGGCTGCATTGAGACTTCGGGGAGAAGGTGAGAAATGTCTGTGTGTCAGCAGGCGTGGATTTATAAAGTGACTAGGAACAATAATAGACATTGTTAGAGCGGTTTGTTGATCCAATGTTATTGGGACAGTGAAAAAATAGTCCCGGAAATATTTCTAGGATGTCACGCAGCACACTGACTGCGCTGTGACAGCCCAGCGATTCTCTCACTCTCACCAACTATTTCAGGCTTCAGAGGGCAGCAGGGAGTTGGAGTATGTCCTTGGAGCTTGGAACAAGACTGGAGACCTGAGTGCTGAGCTCCAGCGGAACCGAAAGCTCGGTAAGTGACGCGCTAACAGGACTGCAAAAGACAACTGTGTATTGCACTGCCCTGTCTGTTCCTCTCTCCCACCCCATCACTTTGACAGTCATTCATTGTCTGCTCAAATTACCCATCTGTCTCCCTGGGGAATCACACTGTGTGCAGGTTAGTTGATGGGACTAGTTTGACCATATTAAGTCAATGTAACGTGGCTGTGAGACTGTAGCACACATTGCCCAGTCAGCCCGAGGTGGGATCTTTGAAAGATGGGAAGAAACCACGGATTTCAGGATTATGGAGGAGAAATCAGGGAAATGGGATTAAAGGATCTGTGTGTTCCGATCAGACACTCGATGGCCTTCCTGCTCCTATGGTCACAAACTGGGAGTTGGTTTCCTGAGAGTTTTGAAAAACGGATCTCACAAGCCGGCCCTTGGGAATGTTGCGCTCGTACCAGGAACCCTCTTGGCTAGGATCGAGCTTCCTGGGACTCGGGAACAAAATGGGAGTGTGAGACACTCTGGGGTGTCAGGTGACACTTGAGACACTCTGGGGTGTCAGCTGAGTTTGGCTGTGTGCCATCCTGCAAGCCTTGAGGGTCAAACAACAAAAACTTATATAGATAGGCCCCTCACGCAGGGTAGTGTCCCAGTACCTGCTCCCCAACAGCTTCCACACAGGTTACGTGGAGACGTGATATTATCATTTCCCTCTCCCACTCCAGCCAGTGTGTTGCGGGGGGTGGGTGTGGGGGGAACAGTTTTGGCTTAATTATAGGGTTGGGGAGAGGAGGGCGGCATTTTGAGCTGTGTGTTGGTGATGAGTGAACAATGTTTGACCCCACCACACTCAGCCAGCGTTTACAGCGGGGTTAGACCTTGCGTACATGCACACAGTGGGTTTTTGGTGTGAACTAATCGGGGTTGTCTCTTCCTGTTTCAGTGGCTCAACTCGAGAGCAGAGGCTCGAGCACCGGGGCACAGGAGACGTGAGCAGCAAATCCTATGTGTGTTTGGGATGGAGCCCTGGGCGCTGTCCTGCAGAATGAATTTTCTGAGCTTCTCATTTGTTTTATATTTGCATCTTTTACGCCCACCCACTCCCCACAATGAAATATGAAATGGAATAAATAAAGACCTTAATCATGACATGTGATGTAATCCTGGACCAGATCCCGCAGCTCTTATTTCGTTTACACCATCGTTTTCCATGTAGCAAGTCTGTGCGTGTGTGTGTGTGTGTCTCTCTCTCTCTCTCTCTCTCTCACATTGAGAGACGGCTTCTTTTAAAGTGTAGAGAGAGAAAAAAGAACAGCTTCCAAATTAGGACCAAACTTTTTAACAATTCTGGACACAACAGGCTGAGCTTGGGATTGTGTGACCTCCGGAGTGTGGGTGTGGAGTGTGTGGCCAGCCCTGCCCTGCCTTCAGTGGCTGTCTAGGTTGTGTGTATATGAAGGGCAAGGTTACTGGAGGCCACCAGCTTGACAGCTTTGGACGTGAGCGATTCGGAGCAGGGAGGGATGGAGTGAACGTCGAGAGCGAGAGAAGCCTTGTCGAGCTCGCTGGCGGAGAGTTGAGGGGGGGAAGCGATGGAATTTTTTTGACCCAAACTTTTTGTGGACAGACAGACGAGTCTCCCGAGGTGCGGCCTTTCTGGATCGAGTTCCCTGGAGCATGTCCTTGTGATTGAACCGCATAAAGCCTTCACTGTGTAAACAAGCTAATTGGCGGTCACAGCCCCCGTTCCACACATTACATATGTGCACACCAGTCGCTCGTGGCCCTACCCCACTATTTAATGCTTCCATGTTGAGAAGAAGCTCAAACTATGAACAGCTTGTGCGTTGGCCGCCGAGGCAGAAAGTGTTCTTTGTCTGATCACATGTCCACCATCGCAATGTATGTACTTTGTACAAGTAAACTTTACTTCAAGGCAGGATGCGCTGCATCTCCCAGTCAATGGGGAGCATTATTCCACCATCAGCATATCATTCCAGCTCGTTAGCGCTGGCTAAAAGACTCTGTTGTATGCTACAGGCTAAGATTCGGAACAAACAACAATATTTATTGACGCTATCTAACAGCACAAAGCAGTATTTTCACTACATCGAGAGATTGAGAGGCCAAATTTATCCATCGCAGCTAAACATTGGCCTGTGGGCTGGAAAATATTTATTCAAAATGATGTGACCAGCGCCTTTTATCTTGATAATGTGGACTTACCAGGACATTGGGATGTGCTTCTCATGACCTTTGGATGAACAGAGTCAGGGAGATCAGGGCTGTGCTTGCTACCTCTCCTCTTCCCCAGGAATATGGCTCAATCAGATTGTCAAGCACATCTAGACAGAAGGTTCTTGTTTCTGCAATGATTTTGCAATCTCAGCTGGGGCTGCATTTGGCCTCAGCTCCCCCCTCCCCACGGGGTTAGGGAGAGAGAAAATCAGCTAGTGTCCATACCCTCCAACACTAGCCAGAGACCTGCCCCCACCCCCCCACCCCACCCCATGGTGTGCAGATGTTGTGTGAGGAAAGGAGAATTGCCATGTTGATCCTAATTGTCTGGGACTTGCACATGAAGAATGATCACTGGATGAGTTGCTGCCAATTTTGGAGTCCTCTGTCCTTTCTAAGAACTATGGGAATGATTTTCCAAGTCACAGTCTTATTCTTGCAACAAAGTGCGCTTTTCAATTTTCCTTATTATACTGCATCTGCCCCTACCCTGCCCATCCTGGTATCCTCTCCATCCTGCAGCTTCTCATGAACCTCGATAAAGTAGACACCAGGAAGTACTTTAAACAGCGTGTCACCAGGAAGGATGGTGGAGATTTGTCTGAACAGCTCGATGCTGTAGTTGAAGAATGCGATTGATATTCTGGAAGAGTGAGGTCAGGTTATTGCTGAGAGAGTTTAGGGATGATCCAATCATCTTTACAACATTGGAGGGATGAGAGAATCGATCATGAAAAACATTCGAGGGCAAGAGGCACAAATTCAAGAGGATGGGGGTGGTTAGTGAAAGGAAAGATTTGGAAGAACATCACCCCGAGGGTTCTCAGGGAGTGACTTGTTGAAGCCGAGAGGGCATTGATAAAAGAATTGGATGAGCATATGCAGCGGAAGGCTACTAGTGGGATGGGAATACAGCTTGGATTTAGGATGAGAATGGACGGTATCAGTGACTTAGGACGTACTCCCAACATGTACGCTGCTGTATAAATCCAAATTGTTCTTGGACGAGCAAAGACCAAAGCTACTGGATGTCCATTGCTGTGGTTCTATGTATGTTTACGGGCCTTCATCTGAACCTCTCATGAAAATGAGATGGTGATGTCGGGGGTGGGGGGTGGGGGTGGGGAGAGAAAAGAGTGGTGGACTTGGATGCCCTGTCTGAGCTCAATAAGCCTTTTCTCATCCCAAACTCTTTCATTTGTACTTATCCCTAAATCAATCTTGCCTGCAGCAACAACTGGAACGCAGTGACTGGTGTGACAGGCAAACTGCACGACATTGACGCTTCAGAGCAGTGCTGGGGGAATGCCCAATATTGTCGGGGGAGTCGTCTTCAAAACCGAGCTCCCGTCTGCCTATTCAGCTGGATGTTTTTCTTTGATCAGTCAGCTGTCTGACACATGCAGTAACTCATCAACATGTAAAAGGATCCAAATCGCTGTTCTTTCACTATTTGGCAAGAGATGCGCACAACGTCACCACGCTCGATAGCAATTGCCTGTGAAGCGCTTGGAGGCATATGGATACATCAGAGGAAAGGGTTTTAATCCCGACAATAATAATAATCCTTGCATTAGAGATAGCACCTTATCACGTCTTCGAGACGTCTCAAAGCACTTCACAGAATATACTGTAAAGTGAATTAACTGTATGTTTTGTGGGCAAAATATCTTACCCCTCTCAACAGTCCAGGTTCACGGAGCAGGTGTCAATTATTCTTCAAAGCGTTATAAATATCTCAAGTGTCTTTGTATGCTGCTGCTGACAACAGAATGAGAGAGATAGCTGTCTTTTCACCCTGTTCATCTGCGCGAACCCTATCGATTATCTGCGAGATTTGGAAAATTCAATTAAAGGGTTTGAGATGAGGGTTCATATATTGTTGTCTTTAACCGCAGCCACTGCAGGATCACTGGGCATCTAATCAATATCTTACTGTGCTGTGCATTTTCCTCCGAACATAAAAATAAATAACATTTAAACAGTTCTGCTTACCCCAGAAACAAATTTAACAATCTCACAAGACTCTGATTATGTGCTGCCACTGCGCCCTGCTCAGGACTCAGTCTGTAACTTATTTCATTACTAATTCGATAGGCATTTTGTGCAGGAAGCTCTTATTTACTGAGGATGTACGGAGAGGAAAGAGAAAAGGTCAGCATTCGCAGGGATTGATTGGGGAGGAGACAAATCATTGGCTGGGCCACAGATGTAATATTGTGTCTAGCTGGGCTTTGGGAAGGATTGGCAAGGCAGTGTAACATGCTCAGGGCATGCGGTAGACTATCAGGGATGCAATCGGTTTTACAGTAGATTCTGTGAAACGCTTTCAGACGTTTCGAAGATTTGAAAAGGCGCTATATCAAATGCAAGGATTATTATTTTTATGGCTAATGAGGAAAGACTAGAGACTCTTTACTGACAGCTCTGTGAATCGGCCTCTCGTAGCTGCAGTCACTATGGTGGGATTACTTTTCCGTAAAGACTTTCCGAGCTTCCCTGGTGTGCATGTGCTGGAACATCAGCCTGGACTGTGAGCTTAAAGGCACAGGTGTGGGGCTGGAACCCACAACCTCCTGACTCAGAGGCAAGAGCACAAGCGACTAAGCCAAAGGAGAGCCCAGCGAGAAAAATAACTAGGTCAATAAATAATAATAATAATGTAGCATATTAGTTAGAGCACTCGCCTTGCAACCGAGAGGACCAGGGTTTGATTCTCGGCTGGGGCGAAACCTTTGGCAGGTTTCATTACTGCACAAGCCTCTGTTTACTCAGCAGTAAGTAGGAACACAGTTAACTGGCAGATCGCTTTCCAGGGGTAATAATCCTTTAAAAAAAATGTGGTCACCCAATCACTACTATTTGTGGGACACTGCTGTGTGCAATTGGATGCCGTGTTGCACCCACAAATATAGTCACTTCACTTTACAATATATTCTGTGAAGTGCTTTGAGACATCTCAACAATGCAATAAAATGCTGCGTGCGCAATTGACTGCCACACAGTCACCCACAAAACACACCATCACTAAACATCACAGTATATCCTGTGAAGCGCTTTGAGACGTCTCAAAGACATGATACGGGGCTATATCAAATGCAAGGATTATTATTGTATCAAATGCATTGATTATTATTTATTATAATAACCTGTGTATCTAATCAGATGCCTCAAATGTTAGAACATCTCAGAGGAAATCGCTGTCAAGCAGAGTGACTGTATTTGTGGACAACCGACACTGTGAACTTGTGTGAGCAGGGAGAGTGCAGGGCTCAGATATTCTGAGGGACTTCCCACAAGGCTATAGATGGGTTTTTATCGATATTTTTAAAATACACCCACAGATGCAGTGTGGGAGCAGATCTCAGAGTGCGTGGTAATAAGCGAGGCAGCTGGCCAGTACTAAAAGCACTTGACAGTAACATCATCGAGCAAATGAATCTGTCCTCGGGTTTGGCTCTTGACTGTTCCCACAGGTGTGCATTGGGATACAGTTTCCAGCACCTAATTTAAATGCCACTCTCACACACACCCACAACATCACTCGCTCTCACACTCTCTCACCCTAACAATCTCTCTCCCTCGCACTCTCACCCAACCCCCCCATAATCTTTCTATCTCTCTCACACACACACACACACAACCACATTAAAAAAAAGCATAATCTTGCCCTCTCACACACAACCGATCTCACGCTCCCTTTCACACAATCACATACACACAATCTCGCGCTCTCATACTCCCCCACAATCCTGCTTTTACACACCCACAATCTCACATGCTCGCACAAACACAATCTCACTTTCTCGCACACACAAATCTCTCCCCTCTTCAACCCAAAATTAAACTTTGCACAAATACTGAGCACAGAAATCCTGAACAAGCGATTGCCTCGATTTAGTCACAATTTCTGAACGACTTCATTCATCGTGTCTGTGCTGGTGCTCGCTCCCCCACTGGAGCTCTCTACTCTAATTCCATTCCCAGTGTTGTTCCCGTCATGTCTGTACTCGCTCAACATTCTGCGCAGAAATAATGTGCGTGCGTAGGGAGCTCTGTGCTCTGGGATGTTGCCCTGAGTGAGGGCAGCTATATAATATCGCCCGACTCCGGCACGACCTCACCCCTCAGGCCGCTGAAACTCTTATTCATGCCTTCATCACCTCCAGGCTCGACTATGCAAATGCTCTGCTTGTCAGCCTTCCCAACTCCTCCCTCCACAGGCTGCAGATAATCCAGAACCCTGCAGCCCGTGTCCTCTCCCGCACCAAACTCCGTGACCCCATCTCCCCCATTCTTGCCGACTCCATTGGCTCCCTATCCTTCAGAGGATCCAGTTCAAGATTCTGGTGCTCACATGCAAAGCCTTACATGGGCTCACCCCACCCCTACCTCTGCGATCTCCTAACCCCCTACCAACCCGCCCGTTCCCTCTGCTCAGCCGGCTCTGGCTCCACGTCCCCCGACCCACCCACCCACCCTATCATTGGTGGGAGTGCCTTCAGCCACTCTGCCCCCAACCTCTGGAATTCACCGCCTAATCCATCCCCTAATCACTCCGCCTCGCCCTCTCCTTAGCCTCCTTCAAGTCCCGCCTCAAGACCCTCCTCTTCGACCTTGCCATCGGCCATCCCCCCAAGCCCAGCTCGGGTCTGAAATGCTGTACACTGTCCAGCGCCTTGGGACGTCCTCCCAACATGAAAGGCGCTAAACAAATGTAATCTTCTTCTTGTGTTGTATAAATGTAAATTGTTGCTGTTGTAGAGAGCTACAGAGTGGGGAAATATGTTTGTGTATGTGCAGGGGGCTATAGGGTGGGAAGCATGTTTTTGTGTGTGTTTTTATAGCCGGTGGCAGTCTGCAGACAGCTGGTGTTGGGAAGCAAGTGCCAAATCTGCACAAGGTGGATTGCATGTGTCTCACTGTAGAGGCCATGTGAAGGGCAGAGAGAAAGAGAGAGAGAGATCTGGACATAAAATTGGGAGAGTCCCCAGCCCAGCCGAGGTGCCTGCAGTCGTTTGAAGGCATCTCCTCCCGTCTGGCTCCCAGATACGATGGTGTTCGCTCCCCCATTCTCTCTCTCTCACACCCTTTCCCTCATCCCCTCTGAATGGCATCACCCAGTCTGACCCTTCTTCCCTCAAAGCCCCATTGCCTCCCACCTCCTGGCTTTGTGCAACTTTTCAAATTCCACATCCCATTAATAAAAAGGCGAGTGGGTGACCAAGCAAGAGGGGTGACAGGTGGGAATATGCCAAGTCTGTGCATCTTAATATACTTCTCACACTTCCTGATGGAATCGTAACTCTATTTGCGTATGCCTGCGTGTGGTGTGTGTGCGCGCGCGCACATGTGTGGTGTGTGCGTGTGCACATATGTGATACAGGGTGACAGGGGTTTGATCCATAAAATTAGACCTGTGTTATAACAGATCCATCAAAAAACATAATCACTTCCTGGCCATTATTTCGCTACGCGAGTGGGAATGAATGTGAGTAGGAGTATGTGTGGGTGCAAGTGTGAGCAGAAATAAGTGAGCAAGAGTGTGAGTGTGCAAGTGTGAGCAGGAGAGCGAGTGTGAGCAGGTGTGTTAAAGGTCAGCAGGTCGAGCTGTCTCCTTTTCCTATCTTTTATTTTCCCTTTCTTAAAAAAAAATATTTTTTCCCTCAAAAAACACGAATTTTTGGAAAATATTTTTAAAAAACAATCAGCGTTGTAAGGTTCCTTACAGTCTATGAGGTAAATAAATCTCCCAGATTCCCAGGAAATCGGGATTTGTGATGAGCAAATCTCGTTGGCGGTCGGGATGCTTACTCTGGCCCTCTGGAACGCCGCCAGGAATGCTCACCTCCTTTCCCACTTCCGTCCTGGCCACGACGAGCTCCTTCAGGAGGCGAGGGAGGCCGTTGCTGCTATCCTTCATTTGGTTTTGCCCCCTCGCCGCTCGTTGGCTGTCACTGTCACTGGCCCCCACAGCAGCACGATGTTAAAGTACATCAGGAATAGCAGGAAGTGACCGCAGGAGAAGAGGGAGATGAGGACCGGGAAGAGGTCCGGGAGAGTGCGGGGGGGCACGAGCACCGCACTGGCCAGGCTCAGTGTCACCATGCCAGCCATCGACAATAGGAACTGTAGTGGGGGGTGGTGGAGAGAGAGAGAGAGGGGCTGTTAGAAATGTCTATCCTCCTCCCGCCTGGGACTATGGCTAATACTCCCTCCAGCCCTGGGTATTACCTTTGTAGCTGGACAACACAGCAGCACATTAACTTTACACAGCGCCTGTCACATCGGGAGGATGTCCCAAAGCGCTGGACAGTCAGGGATTTGCACCCGAGCTGGGGGTTGGGATCAGGAGGGATGGAGGCAGGGAGGGTGGAGTGAGCGAAGCCGCGGTCAAAGAAGGAGGTCTTGAGACAGGCCTTGAAGGAGGCGAGGGAGGGAGCGAGGCGAAGGGACCGCAGGATGGAGTTTCCAAGTACGCCCTCCCTGTGCTGAATGGTATCCCATGTTACTCACCGCGAGCTTGAGTAGGTGCGGGGGGGCTGGGAGTCCCGGAAAGTATCTGCGGAGACACTGAGAAAATGACTGGAGCTGTAGGTCGACCGTAGATGTGCTGTCCAGCGGCCGCAGCAGCTGTGTGCTGGCCAGAAGGAAGGTCAGAGAGGTGACCACGTAGGGAAGCAATAGCTCATCCTTCAACAGCAAGGGCAGCATACTGAGGAATAATAGAGAGCGAGTCACACAACGCCCCAACACACAAGCAGCTGTCACACACAACCCCCCCCCACCCCACCCTCCCCGGCGCGCAGCCCTCCCGGCACACAGCGGCGTGATTGTAAAACAAACAGCACTGACCTGAAGGTCGATACCAGCAGGAACCATGTTGCCATGAAGGGGACTTCATGCAGCAGCAGACAGACCGGCCTGGGAACAGACAGACAGACAGACACAGAGAGAGAGAGAGAGAGGCTGACAGCAGAACAGCAAAGGCAGGACCATTATACCTGAGCCTCACCCTCAATCTCCCTGTGGCCCCGTTCTCGTCAACCCCTCCTCACCCCCCACCCATTCACCCCGGGGGAGCAGGGTGTGTGTGGGCTGGGGGTGAAAGTGAGCATCAGGGCCGATAGAACGTGGGGAGACAGAGTGTCTCTGTGTGGAGGGCAGGGGGAGCAGGAGAGCGAGCGAGGCGAGGGGGGGGTAGAGTGGAATGACGGCACGGGGGGAAGGGGTACAGCGGGGGCGGATGGTGGAGGGAGGGAGGTCACTTACACGGCCACCAGGAGGATGGACTTCTCATGCACCTGGAAGGAGAAGAGGAAGAAGGAGAGGGAACAGGTCACCTGCAGACGGGGTGGGGGGGGGGGGGGAGGAAATAAACTTTTATTAATTCAGTTTCTGTAAATTACAAAAACAGTGATCATTATTAATAATAATCCTGGGTTCTCACACAGCGCCTCATGCAGCAAAAAAAATCTCAAAAGCATTTCCCAGGAAATCGGGGTCAAGCGTAGTGACTGTGGATTTGTTGCTGAGCACACAGCTGGAGCTCAGGAGAGGGATGGGTAAGAGTGACTGGTTTTAGAGAGAGCGAGAGGGGATTGTGGGGAATGGACGAGCTTGGGAAATGGTGGAGGTAATAATAATCTTTGCATTTGATACAGCGCCTTATCACGTGGTCGAGACGTCTCAAAGTGCTTCACAGCGTACACTATAAATTGATTAACTGTATTTTGTGGGAGGCATGGGATGCAGATTGTCAGGAAATTCAGGAGGAAATTAAACAGTGATTTGGTGAAGAAATTGATTTAAGAGGTGAAATAGATAGAGTGAGAGACATACACGTGGAGCGAGTGAGAAAGAGAGAGACACACACAGCAAGCGAGAGAGAGAGAGAGAGAAAGGGGCTGTTTTTTTCCTCCTGGATCTTTCTGCTTTGGGACATTTTTGAACAAATTGGAAACTTGTACAGAACGATCTGGAAGCTCGCCATTAAACGAGCGGTGCAGACAGCAGCAGCTCACTATATCCCAGCAGCTGTGCCGCGAATTTTAACACTTAAAAGGAATCCTGGAGACTGTTTGACTCACAGCGAGAGGAGAGAGACAGAGAGAGAGAGAGAGAGAGAGAGAGACATCCTGCACTCACTCACGCACTCAGTCGGTGTAGAGACACAGTTGATCTCAGCCCCGCTCTGTGCCGAGTGGTTGAACTCAGTGTAACACACACACATACACACACAAAGTCACTACACGTCACACTGGAGACTCACCAGAGCCAGTCTGAAGCCCCGGAGAGTGGGAGTGACCGTCAGCTTCAGGCAGCCGGGCAGCACAGAGAGCAGCGTGGCCACTGCACTGGGGGTGGGGAGGGAACAGAGTCGTACATTATACACTGTAATAAGCCCCCACACACCACCACCACACCCCCCCCCCACACACCAGATAGCACTGGGAATTATACGCATATGCTGTAGTATCCCCCTCACACACACTCACTCCATACCTCAACCCCCACTCGCACGCACCACGCATGCCACACATCACCCCCCCAAATACACACACATTAACGGTCAGCGAGTGGCAGTTACCTGAGCCACACCTGGGTGCTGGGAGCCAGAAGCCTATGGAGCTTGAACAGCACGGATAGACTACACCACACGTTGCCCACCTTGTCCTGGGGGGGTGGGGGGGGATGGAGAGAGAGAGGCTGGAGGTCAGCGTGTGACTCCGGGGACAGCAACAACAACAACACATGACATTTACACGACGCCTTCCACGTCAGGAGGACGTCCCAAGGTGCTGGACAGTCAGGGATTTGGCCCCTAGCAGGGGGGTGGGATCAGGAGGGGGCGGAGGGCAGGGAGGGTGGGGATAAGATAGGCCGAAGAAGCGCGATAAGACACCGGTACGCGGACACTGGCGCGCGGACAGTGACGGCGCCCGTGTTATTCCCGGAGACGGAGCCTCTCCCCGAGTTCCCGTACCTCAAACAGCCCCCTCTCCACTGGAACAGCCTCCGCAGCAGCTGCTGAACGTGAGCCACATCGGAAAGAAACGGCAGCCAACACGCGGCAAACACGGTCAGCACCGTCACAGCCACCGCCAGCAGCCACAGCAACCTGAGAGGGGGAGAGGGTGGGGAGGGGATGGAGAAACAGGCAGAGAGAGGGGGATGGGGAGAGAGAGGGAGAGAGGGAGTGAGAGAACCAGAGGGAGTGAGATTTATTGATGGCTTTACCATGCAGGCTGCTCGCTACTTACTTTTTTGGGGGGGGTCATCCTGACTCCGAACCCAAACCATGCTTCAGATCCTCCAAACCAGACTGAGAGTTCCACATCCGTACGTCACCAGCATATGGAAATCGCCCTGAATCTGGAATAGAATGTGCTCTCTCTCTCTCTCTCCCCGCAACCCCCCCTCCACACTCCCTTCCCTGGAAGAGAACGCGCCCTTCTCCCTAACCCGCGCGGGGGGCGCTCGTGGGGGCGCGCTTTGTGGGCGGGCAGGCGTGCCGGTCACTCACCCTCGGCCGCGCAGTCCTGCCCGCGCACACCAGCCCAGCAGGTAGCAGAAGAAGGGCAGCGAGTGGTACAGCTCCATCTGCTTGTAGTTCAGCGCCAGGCAGAAGGCGGCGGAGCCCAGCAGGGGGTGCCCCGAGGCCAGACCCAGCGCCCCCCACACGCCCAACCCCAGGCTCACACTGTTATACCTGGTCATGTGTTAAAGGCAACTCGCGGGCAACTGGTGAACCCCACCTGATACCCCCACACCACTCCACACACCAACCACTCAACACAGAGTGCGGCCGAGATCAGCCACTCAGCACAGGGGCGGGGTTGGGACTCCGGCGGGCAGAGAGGGAAGGTGGGAAGAATGGTGGGAGATAAGGATACTGGAAGTGTCCGTGGTCGACGAGGATGAGGCCGGGATACAGTAGAGCACACAGCATGGCGGCCACCTGGGGGGGAAACAGAGAGCAGCTCAGTACCTGTGCCCCCCCACAGTAACACAACACAATAACACAGTCATACAGCGCTTTCCTCACATCCCCAGGGACGTCCCAAAGCGCTTAGCTGTCCTGGCTAGCGGCCGGGGGGGGGTGGCGGGTGTCGAGGGTAGGGAGGGAAGGGGGTCTGGGGAGAAAGGTGAGAAATGAGGAGCTTTAATTGGTTTCTCTCCCTCACTGCCCCCCCACCTCCCCCAATGCGCTGCCCTAACAAAAGGGGCAGTTACATTCACCTCTACTGTGCAGAGATCAGAGACTGTGGGCTCATTACTGGGAGCAGGTGGGGTGCACAGGTGCGGAGCCAATGAGTGTCACATACCTTCTTGCCGCGAGGAGCCTGGCACCGCTGTAGGTAACACAGGACGGCGGGGATATACACGGCGACGTCGGCAACAAGCACTGAGCGAGCGAGAGAGACACACACAGAGAGAGAGAGACAGCGAGGTTACACTTCACTTCACAAACCGGTGCCTGAGCACCGGCCATAACCGTCACCTAATAAATATACACTGTGTCTGAGCTGGGCTGAGATCAGCACTCAGCACAGAGCGGGGCTGGGCAGGAGACCTACCTGTCGCTCGCATGAAGAGCTTGTGGGCAGGACTCTCGTAGCCGCGGGAGGTGCGGAGTGCGATCCAGTCAGGGTTTATCAGCCGGGCTCTGGGCAAACACAGAGAGGTAATGTCAGCAGCCATTACTACACCTGGGGAACTAACACTGTGTGAACAGACTCACTCATCCACAGCCAACAGCATTTACAGTAAAACTCGCACAAGTCTAAACCGTTAAGTGACATAATCACCTAAATCGTACATCTGTTTACCTAGTAGTGAGTAGGAACCCGCTTGTTAGTCGATTGGCGGTTCACTTTCCAGGGGTAATAATCCCTCCAGAAAATAATAATAATAATCATTTGGTCACTCAATCCACGACTGTTTGTGGGACACTGCTGTGGTAAATTGGCTGCCGCGTTTCGCCCACATACGCAGTCACTGCACTTACAATATATGCTGTGAAGCGCTTTGAGACATCTCAAAGACATAAGGCGCTATATCAAATGCAAGGATTATTATTATTATGATCTGCCCAAGTCTCGTTTGAGAGTTTATATTCTGTGCAAGTTTGACATTACTCATACTTTAGCACAAGTCATATTAAATGTATGGGGCCCAACTGATGCGACTTATGTGAGGTTTACTGTATAATCATTTTTAGTCCAACAATCATTTTTAGTAACTTTCCTGGCTAATACTCCTCCACGTTAATCACTGTCTGACCTGAGAGCCTGTGTGTGGGACATCGCTTTGCGTTGTGTTTGCCTACAATAGCAGTCATTTCACTTACCAGAACATCGGGATGGTTTGTGTTTCCGGCGCTGGATCAGCACCTAATTGTACATCAGGAGGACGTCTCACAGCTTTTCACAGGACTTACTGTAAAGTGTAGTGACTGTGTGTTTTGTAGGTGAACGCAGTAGCCAATTTGCGTACAATGACATGCCGGAAAACAACCATGAAGTGAGCGAGAGATTTTATCAGGGGGGATTGTCGGCCAGGAAACCAGGAGAGAGAAACTCTCTAAAGCTGGACAGGAACAGAAGGGGAGTGAGGTTTCACGTCTCATCTGAAGGACAGCGTCTCCGACACTGCAGCACTCGTTCCCCCCAGCTCTGCGCTGGAGCGTGATGGTGATGGGGGGGTAGGAAATCCTGGGGAAGCAGAGGTCACTTACACATAGGCACAGGCGAGGCTGTGATAGGCTGTGAGTGGGGGGTAATCCAGCCCCCAGTACTGCAGCTCGTTCTGGCTCGTGTTGAAATACCTGCAGAAAAACCACCCGCTTTATACCACCAACAACAAATTATATTTGTATAACGCCTTTCACGTTAGGAGGACGTCCCAAGGCCCTGGAACAGCCTGACTTCAACCCTCTCCCATCAGCAGTAGTTACTGTTACAGGGCAATCCATGAGGCCATACATACCCGTCATACCCCACCGCCACAAACACACCGCCATCACACACACATCCCGCGACATATACACTCCCACCCGCCACACGCGCACCCCCTGCCACACAGACACACACACCGTCTCTCATACACACACAGCCCCACACACACACAATCTCGGCACACACATACCCAAACCCTCCCCCACCACCCACGCGCACTAATCATACACAGTAGATTCTGTGAAATATTTACAGGCTTCTCATAAGGTAAAAGTCTCCTTCCCCGCTTGTCAGCATAGCCCCCCCCCACTCCCCCCCCATCCACCCCCTCACCAACCCCCATGCCACCCTCCCCAACTCCCACCACCACCCCCCGCGCCCAGTGTGAGGCTGGCAGTTAGTCTGTATACAGCACTGACCATTGGTGAGCAGGCAGGTTATACGTCACCTCTTGCCAGTGTCTCTGAGCCTCGTAGTCTCCAAACATGGGGGCCTTCCCTGCACCTGACAACACAGAGAGCATCAGCCCGAACACCGTCACACAATGTGTGTAAGGTCTCTCAGTCACTGTGTAATACCACCGGGTGTATCAATCAGTGTGTAATGATGACTCGAGTGCACGGTGCTGGGACTGGAATGCAGAGCAGGGCTGACCTGTGTAATAATTACTGACCTGAGTAGGAGTTACTAACCTGAGCAATAATTACTGACCTGAGGGGGAGTTACTGACCTGAGTAATAATTACTGACCTGAGGGGGAGTTACTGACCTGAGTAATAATTACTGACCTGAGTAATAACTACTGATCTGAGTAGGAATTACTGACCTGAGTAATAATTGCTGACCTGAGCAATAATTACTGACCTGAGTAGGAATTACTGACCTGAGTAAGAGTTACTGACCTGAGTAAGAGTTACTGACCTGAGTAGGAATTACTGACCTGAGTAAGAGTTACTGACCTGAGTAGGAATTACTGACCTGAGTAGGAATTACTGACCTGAGTAGGAATTACTGACCTAGGTAATAACTACGAACCTGAGTAAGAGTGACTGACCTGAGTAATAACTACTGACCTGAGTAAGAGTTACTGACCTGAGTAGGAATTACTGACCTAGGTAATAACTACGGACCTGAGTAAGAGTGACTGACCTGAGTAATAACTACTGACCTGAGTAAGAGTTACTGACCTGAGTAGGAATTACTGACCTAGGTAATAACTACGGACCTGAGTAAGAGTGACTGACTTGAGTAATAACTACTGACCTGAGTAAGAGTTACTGACCTGAGTAGGAGTTGAGAGACACTGCCCAGCGCACTGTGAGGCTGATGATGACTATCAGAGGGACTGTGCTCCATTCCTCCATCTCACTGCGGCTCCTCCAGCCCTCAGCCCTCAACCTGTCTTGTCCCTGGTCTCTCTCTCCCCTATTCTCTGTACTACTCTGTCTCTCTCTTGTGTTTCTCTGGTTCTCTCTCTCTGAATATCTATGTATCACTATGTGTGTGTGTGTGTGTCAGTCGCTCTCTGATCCTCTCTCACTCTGTGTGTGCATCTCTCTCTCACTACGTGTGTATCTCTATAATGCTCTCTCTCTCTCTCTCTCCCCCCCTCTCTCTTTCTGTATGTCTGTTATGCTCTCTCTATGTGTCTCACCCTCTCTGACTGTCTCTCACTGGATCTGTATAACTCTCTTTCTGTCTCCCACACTTTATGTATCTATCTCTGTGATGTTCTCTGTGTGTCTCACACTCTCTCTGTCTTATCCCTATAATGATGTGTGTGTGTCTCTGTATCTCTTTAATGTTCTGTGTGTGTCTCTGTATCTCTGTCTATGTCTCTGTGTGTCTGTCTGTGTGTGTCTCTGTAATGCTCTGCGTGTGTCTGTGTCTCTGTGTGTGTCTCTGTCTGTGTGGGTGTGTGTCCCTGTGTGTGTGTGTGTCTGTGTGTGTGTGTGTGTGTGTCTGGGTGTGTGTCTGTCTGGGTGTGTGTCTGGGTGTGTGTCTGTCTGGATGTCTCTGTGTGTGTCTGTCTCTGTGTCTCTGTGTGTGTCTGTCTGGGTGTCTCTGTGTCTGTGTGTGTCTGTCTCTGTGTGTGTCTGTGTGTCTCTGTGTCTGTCTGTGTGTATCTGGGTGTCTGTCTGGGTGTCTCTGTGTGTCTCTGTCTGGGTCTGTGTGTGTGTGTCTGGGTGTGTGTGTCTCTGTGTGTCTGTGTGTGTGTGTGTGTCTGTCTGTGTGTGTGTGTGTGTCTGGGTGTCTCTGGGTGTGTGTGTGTCTGTCTGGGTGTCTCTGTGTGTGTCTCTGTCTGGGTCTGTGTGTGTGTCTGGGTGTGTGTGTCTCTGTCTGTGTGTGTGTGTCTGTGTGTGTGTGTCTCTGTGTGTGTGTCTGTCTGTGTGTCTCTGTCTGTGTGTGTGTCTGTCTGTGTGTGTCTGTCTGTGTGTGTCTGTGTGTGTGTCTGTCTGTGTGTGTCTGGGTGTGTGTGTGTCTGTGTGTCTCTGTCTGTGTGTCTGTCTGTGTGTGTCTGGGTGTGTGTGTGTGTCTCTGTGTGTGTGTGTGTCTGTCTGTGTGTCTCTGTCTGTGTGTGTGTGTGTCTGTCTGTGTGTGTCTGGGTGTGTGTGTGTGTGTGTCTCTGTGTGTGTGTGTGTCTGTCTGTGTGTCTCTGTCTGTGTGTGTGTGTGTCTGTCTGTGTGTGTCTGGGTGTGTCTGTCTATGTGTCTCTGTGTGTGTCTGGGTGTGTGTGTGTCTCTGTGTGTGTGTGTCTGTCTGTGTGTCTCTGTCTGTGTGTGTGTGTGTCTGTGTGTGTGTCTGGGTGTGTGTGTGTCTGTGTGTGTGTCTGGGTGTGTGTGTGTAAAACTGTGACTGTGTATCCACTTCCTGAAGCAGTGAGGCCGCGCATGCGCGTTGCCCAGCAGCGCCGCCTGATGACGTCACGGACAACTTATTTGATTCACAAAAAAGAGTTTAAAAAACACAACACAGATACACAGTGTGAACCTCACCCCAGAACCTCCCCTGTGGCCCAATCTCTGTCTTACACCCCCTTATACCAAACACACAGGGTTTTCAAGTCATCCTTTTATTTTGAAATCATTGTATTAGTTGTAATCAAAATAATTATTATTATTAGATCAAATCCTGGCCTCAAAGGAGTTTATGTTTCAGGTGTTTATGGGCTATGTTCTTCCTTTGGTTAGAGATTATCTGCAGTGATTTACTGGCCGAACAAGAGGAGAGAGAGAGAGAGAGAGAGAGGGGGTGGAATGTTGTTTTAAAGAGAGAAAATAATAATAATCCTTGCATTTGATATAGCGCCTCGTCACGTCATTGAAATATCCCAAAGCGCTTCACAGAATAGTCAAGCGGATTGACTGTTTATTTTGTGGCTGAAACGCGGAAGCCAATTGCGTACGGCAGGGTCCCACAAACAGATGTGTTTATCCCCCCCGTCTTTCTTATCCTGTGTTATTATAAGTTAAATATTATTTATTGGGCCAGGATTCTGTCACTGACTATATAATTATGATTGGCAATTTGGTCACTGATGTTCTCCCATTAATGGTTTTCAGCATAAACCACTTTGTGAACTTGTTTTCCCGCAGTCAAACTTTCCTTTTTTTCACTTTTTTTCTTCTTACCTATCTCTCCTTCCTTCCCTCCCTCCCTACCTCCCTCGTTCCCGAGATTTTTTAAACTAAGCTGAGATTTTGTATTGCAAACTGGTGATAAGTGTAATGCTAACCTATCGTCTCACAGTGTTTGACTTTTTGGGAGACAACATCGAAATTACCTTTTTATTGTTTTTTGGGGGGTGAAGTGGTTAAATATTTCTGTTAAATATTTCCAATGGACAATTTGATAATTAAATTGAATTATTTTTATATATGTATATAAAAAACAAAGTGCTTTGGACTGGGCCTAAGGAGGTAATAATAATATTCCTTGCATTTGATATATTGCATTATCACATCTTCAAGATGTCTCAAAGCACTTCACAGAAAATATTGTAAAGTGAATTGACTGTAAATTTTATGGGCAAAATGCGCACAGCAGTGTCCCACAAATAGTCATGGATTGAGTGACCAAATTATTATTATTTATTTATTTGGAAGAGTTATTGCCCCCTGGAAAAGCAATCCACCAATCAATTAACATGGATAATTCTGCAATTCAGATTTTAATATAGGAAATGGTTTCTATTTCATAAAAAAAATTAGTATCGAGTGAGGCTGTGAGAATTAAACCCTCTCCATCACCGTGAGCGTCTCACACCCGCAGCATCTCAAAGGTGTGCAGGAGAGCACCCGTCACTGCTCTAGTGAAGAGCTAAACTTTAATTATATGTATTTTGAAATAAGTTTAAATAAATTGCTTGTCATTGAGCGCACTAATAAATGATAATAATCTGGTCGCTCAATCCGTTACTGTTTGTGGGACAATGCTGTGCGCAATCGGCTGTCGCATTTTGCCCACAAAATGCACAGTCACTTTACGCTATATTCTGTGAAGCGCTTTGAGACGTCCCGAAGATGCGATAAGGGGTATATCCAATGCAAGAATTATTATTATTATTAATATGGGCACATTGGGAATTGCGCCGTCCAGCGGCTGGAGCTGGTATTACCTGCTCCCAGTCACCGACCCAAACTACATGGAGAAGGATTTAAGCTTTAAGTCGATCAACTATTTCATTGATGTTTACATCGCCGAACGCCTAAACTCCTGGTTAAAAAAAATAAAGAGCCATCAGCTGTTCTTTTTAAAGCAAAAAAACGTTTCAGTTCAGTAACAATCTCAAACTAGTTTAGGACCAGACTGCGTCACCTTTCAGATTTCGTCTTTCATTTCATTTCATTTTATTTTTGGACACATGTGTCAAAAACGAAATGAAATGGAAAACGAATACAGTATCAGCAAAAATCATTTGTTTAAAATCGTTTCGTTTTTTTTTGAGGCCGAAAAAAATACCGAAACAAAGCAATACAAACAAAATAATGATAATAGTAATAATAACAATAAAAGCGTTAAATGAAAGGGTAATTGTGACCTGACTCTTATTTCATATTGGGGGGATTTTTTTTGGTGGGTGGCGAGATTTCTTTTATCTAATAAAATGATTAAAATGTACACGTGAAGCCGAGTTGAGATGAGAGAGCAAAGCTAAGTTGAGCCCAGGGTGACAGGAAAGTGAGTGAGTGAGTGAGTGTATGTGAGTGAGTGAATGAGCAGAGTGAGTGAGTGAGTGAATGAATGAGCGAGCAGAGTGAGTGAGTGTATGTGAGTGAGTGAGTGAGTGAGTGAGTAAGTGTGTGTGAGTGAGTGAATGAGCGAGCAGAGTGAGTGAGTGAGCAGAGTGAGTGAGTGAGTGAGTGAGCGAGCAAGTGAGTGAGTGAGCAGAGTGAGCAGAGTGAGTGAGTGAGTGAGCAGAGTGAGCAGAGTGAGTGAGTGAGTGAATGAATGAGCGAGCAGAGTGAGTGAGTGAGTGAGTGAGTGAGTGAGTGAGTAAGTGTGTGTGAGTGAGTGAATGAGCGAGCAGAGTGAGTGAGTGAGCAGAGTGAGTGAGTGAGTGAGTGAGCGAGCAAGTGAGTGAGTGAGCAGAGTGAGCAGAGTGAGTGAGTGAGTGAGTGAGCAGAGTGAGCAGAGTGAGTGAGTGAGTGAATGAATGAGCGAGCAGAGTGAGTGAGTGTATGTGAGTGAGTGAGTGAGTGAGTAAGTGTGAGTGAGTGAGTGAATGAGCGAGCAGAGTGAGTGAATGAGCAGAGTGAGTGAGTGAGTGAATGAATGAGCGAGCAGAGTGAGTGAGTGTATGTGAGTGAGTGAGTGAGTGAGTAAGTGTGAGTGAGTGAGTGAATGAGCGAGCAGAGTGAGTGAGTGAGCAGAGTGAGTGAGTGAGTGAGTGAGTGAGTGAGTGAGTGTCAGGACAGTTGGGAGGGCTGGGGGTTGGTTGGTATGAAGCCCCTGTTATTGCTTGTCAGTGTGAAGATGATGGTATCAGCAGGTTTGCTGAGCCGGACAGTGACTGCAGGGAGTCGCCTTGCACTTTCCCAGGAGTATCTGATAAATATAGCAAAGCCACATCATGTGCCCGTTTGCTTTGCTCGGTTTATGTAAACGAATCACTTTAACGAGTGCCCTAACCTAAGACACACACAACACACACACACACACACACACACACATGTACACGGATTACTGGCCTCTCAATTTAGGGACTTGGGCTCGACTCTTTATTAAGTTGCCCTTTGCAGTAAGTTCACTTCATCCCTCGGTGTCAGATGATTATCGACTAAAGATACATATGTTTTTTTTGCCCCGGCATTTGCAGGCGGCGGCTCGTTTCATTTGGTGTATTTATACCGCGGTATAAATGTTTACGCGCAGTAAAATAATATTTACCAACAGATCCTCGGCTGCTTGTCCAAATGCTGTGGGAGGGAAATCTGCTTCAGTCACTTGGCAGCGGTGTGTCAGGACACAGTGTGAATCAACAGTCAAATGGAAACGCTTTTACAAGGACACGAAACCCGCAAACACACGCCAAACACACGCCAAACACACGCCAAACAGACACAAACACACACCAAACACACGCCAAACAGACACAAACACACACCAAACACACGCCAAACACACGCCAAACAGACACAAACACACGCCAAACACACGCCAAACAGACACAAACACACACCAAACACACGCCAAACAGACACAAACACACACCAAACACACGCCAAACAGACACAAACACACACCAAACACACGCTAAACAGACACAAACACACACCAAACACATGCCAAACAGACACAAACACACACCAAACACACACCAAACAGACACAAACACACACCAAACACAGACACACACCAAACACACACACACCAAACACATACCAAACACAGACACACACCAAACAGACACAGTCACATTATACACCAAACACAGACACACACCAAACAGACACAGTCACATTATACACCAAACACAGGCACACACCAAACACACGCCAAACAGACACAAACACACACCAAACACACGCCAAACAGACACAAACACACACCAAACACACACCAAACAGACACAAACACACACCAAACACAGACACACACCAAACACACACACACCAAACACATACCAAACACAGACACACACCAAACAGACACAGTCACATTATACACCAAACACAGACACACACCAAACGCGCAAACACAGGCACAGACAGATAACCAAACACGCAACATGCATCAAACACATGCCAAACATACACAAATTCCAAACACACACACATACACACACGAAACGCACAAACACAGACAAACACCAAACACACACACACCAAACACACACACAGACCAAACACAAACAGACACACACACTCAGACACAAACGCAAACATACATACGCACACGGGAGACTGCCTCGAACCGCCTCACACACAATTCCACAGACGAAAAAAAAATTCAATTCATACCAACAATTCATCAGATTTCTTTTTTTTTTTAGCCCCAAAAAAATAAAATGAATCGAAATACAAGATTTGTTTGTACTTTTTTTTTAAAAAGAGCCATTAAAATAAACCTTTTTTTAAACTCCAAATCTTCGCTGGTTTCGTTTTTACTCATTTCCCCCCCAAAAAAAAAATGAAATGAGTATAAACTAGTCAGGGCGGCGAGACTTTATGTGTGGGGTTTAGCGCCCGACTAGTGTTCAACCAAAAGCGTAAAGCTTTCAGCTTTGTACACTTCAGTTTCAATTTTTATTACAAATTAATTTAAACTGTTGTTAACCAGGCGGCTGTCTCTCTCTCTCTCTCTCTCCCTCTCTCTCTCACACACACACACACATATACACACACATATTTACACACACGTACACGCACATACACACATATACACATACACACACAGCGATACACAGAGATACACAAATGCACACAGATTATACACGTATAGGCACATGGGGAAGTTTCCAGCGTTCACTGGAAATCAGATGATGAAATTATAGCAATGAAATAAATTAAATGTTTCACACGTCGGGTTTGTGTGTGTGTGTTATCTCTATATCTATGTATCTGCGTGTATCTCTGTGTCTGTATATTGTGTCCGTATCTGTGTGTGTGTGTGTGTGTCTCTGTATGTGTGTGTGTGTTTCTATATCTGTGTGTGTCTCTGTATCTGGTCTGTATCTGTGTGTGTGTCTATATCTGTGTGTGTCTGTACCTGTGTATGTGTCTCTGTATCTGTGTGTGTATATCTGTATCGACATGTGTATGTATGTGTATGTGTGTGTGTGTACCTGTGTGTGTATATCTGTGTATGTGTATCTGTGTGTGTATGTGTGTCTGTATCTGTGTGCGTGTGTTGCGATTAAATTGTTAATTCTATTTAAGGTTTAAATGTAATTTACTTTTCCCGCCGGGAATGTGCGCGGCTCCAGAACCCGGTAATTTCTGACCATTTATCCTCTCTAATGTTTATTGTGAATTTTCGTTTTATTTAACACACGATTTTATTTGGTTAAACACAATAATTGTCCCCAAACGCTTACAGTGAATCAATGTGTTATAGCCGCGACTGTCTCTCATTATGTACTTGTAATATACTGTATTTATGTTAAAACGCATATTTATTGAATTTTTTAAACTTATTTTATATACCTGATTACAAATTAATTGATTATAAGGCAGCATGCTAAAATATAATGATCTTATAGTGTGAGATTGAGTGGTTTATTCGCTCTCATTTGTGAAAATATTTAAGCATAATAGAGACGGTGAAAATTTAAACATATTAATTTACTTTTATTGTGCATCTGGCATAATCCGTTGATAATTTTTTTACCAAAAATATTTAACTCTCTTTAATTTATATGAAATGATATAGCAAATTAATATACACTAAATTAAAATTTTGAATTTTTTTACAAATATTTTCAAATAACATATTTACATAATTACGAATAACACAATCTTTCATTTATATGAAATTTATATGAAGTAAAATTATGAAACGATTCACAATATTTTTGTAAAAAAAAATCAATGGATTAAGTCGGCTGCAGAATAAAACTAAATTATTATTATTTTATTAATTTGATTTCTCTGAACCAAACCCGCGCGAATCCCACGCAAAACTAACCGCCTCTCTAAAGGAATCGTGAGAATTATATTACTAAATCACGGGCTGATTATATGGTTTGGTTTTATATTTCATTTCATTTCATTTTTTTTATAACAAAGTTATTTGGTAAAAGTGTCCTGACATTTAATTGATATGAGATAAGGTACGACGTTAATTGATGTGAAATTAAAGAATGTGAAACGTTTTACAAATATTTTCGAATAACATAATTACAAATGGTTTGTTATTTCGAAGCACAATAAAAAAAAATCGTTTTATGTTTGCTGGGAATACAGCTTTGTCGCTCTCTGTGTGTGTCTCTCTCTCTCTGTCTCTGTCTATCTCTCTGTTATGGCGTTTCATCTAAACCGCTCAGCTGATCCCGCGCCAAACTGGTTCATTAATAGATCTTTTAATAATTAAAAAAATAACCTCTTAATTGCCTTCATAATCATCACTGGGTTCCGTGCTTTTATTTACAACGAAGCGGTTTCTCTCTGTCTCTCTCCGTCTTTCTGTCGCTCTGTGTCTCTGTCTCTGTCTCTCTCTCTGTCTCTCTCTGTCTCTTTCTGTCTCTGAGGGTAGAGAAACTCAAAGTAAAATTCCTAACCTTAATTAAGATTGCTGTAAATTACACCACACACACACACATATATGTAAACACACGCACATACATGCACACATATATACTGTATATATGTATATATACACACACACACTCACACACATCACTAGTTTCAATACAAATCGAATCGAAAGTCGCAAACGGTCATATATTCTTACTTATTCATATCATTTCTAAAAGGTCAGCAATATAATAATAATAATAATCCATGCATTTTGATATAGCGCCGTATCACGTCTTCATATATCGATATATATGTATAGTTATTACAAAATGATAGTTTTTTTTAATTAAAAAAATAGCGAAAAATTAAATGTACAAAAAGACATAAAGGTGCAAATTGTAAAATTATTTACAAAGTTTATTTATAGTTATAACAGGACAGAGAGAGAGAGAGAGAGAGTTACAGTCAATCCCATTTCCTGGCTATAAACGGGTTCAGTCCTACACAGTTCGGGACATTATTTCTTCCTCGTAGAAACCGATTCTTTAGAATAAATTCGATCATTTCTCCCGCAATAATTATCTATCGATTTCCCTCCAATATTTCCCTCCAAAATTCACTCCCATGGTCAGGACCTTCGAGGAAAATGAAGAGAGAGCCGAGCTTCAAGGAACGGACGGGCGCACGCACACTGGCGGGTACAAACTCTCCAATCCAAAGCGTTTTTTTTTACTAAAATAAAAGTCGATTTTAACTTTGAACCAAATGTTTTTTTTTATATAGAAATATTTACAAACCTGTACAGAAATCATTCATTTTGTTACTGAACTGGGGAGGGGGGGGGGGGGGGGGGGGAGATGGGTTAGATAGAGTCTGTATGTGTGGAGCTGGGAGGTGTTTAGTGCAATGTTGAACTATGTTGAGTGGAGCCCAGGGCTGTGCTGGGCTGAGCTGAGCTGAGCCGGACTGTGCTGAGCCCAGGGCTGTGCTGGGCTGAGCTGAGCCGGACTGGGCTGAGCCCAGGGCTGTGCTGGACTCAGCCCAGGGCTGTGCTGGGCTGAGCCGGACTGTGCTGGGCTGAGCCCCGGGCTGTGCTGGGCTGAACCCAGGGCTGTGCTGGGCTGAACCCAGGGCTGGGCTGAACCGGGCTGGGCTGGGCTGGGTCGGGTTGGGTTGAGCTGGGCTGAGCCGAGCCGAGCTTAGCTGTGTTGAGCTGTCGCTGTCAGTGCCATTGGGTTGGGCTGTGTTGGGCTGAGCCGGGCTGGGCTGGGCTGGGCTGGGGCTGGGGCTGGGCTGGGCTGGGTTGAGCTGGGCCGAGCCGAGCCGAGCCGAGCCGTGTTGAGCTGTCGCTGTCAGTGTCACTGGGCTACCCACTTGCTGGCAGCGGCCGAGGCGGCTGACTGTAGGAACTGTCCGGACAGGATGTTGGTGGGGACCCCGAGGAGGGGGGCGATCGCCGAGCCCACCGCGGAGCGGGATAGGGAGAGCGGCTGCGGGCTGAGCAGCGCGGACTGCACGGTGATGGGAGGCCGAGAGAAAGTCTGTGTCTGTGCGCCGTTACTGTTGCTGACGCCGATGATGTTCTCGATGCTGAAGGAAGTTCTCCCGCTCGGCTCCGTCTTCACGATCGACGCGGAGCCCAGACTGCTGATGTGCAGCTGGAGGCCGGGGCTGAGGCTGGGACTGGCACTGAGCTGGTGGGGGAGCGGGGAGCCGAACGCCTTGCTGGCCGGGATCAGGGGCACCGTGGGCGGCAGGAGAGAGCCCACGGGTGGGATGTAGGGATACTGAAGGTGCCCGTGACCCGGGTAAGAAGTCGGGTGAAGCCCGTAAGGCCGACCGTAGGGACCGCTCAGGCTGTAAGCCCCGAAAGTCTGCATCATGAGCGTGGCCTGGTCCCGGAGCGGGTCGGCGGGTTGTCTCTTGAACCGTTTCCTTCGCCTCAAGAAGCTCCCGTTGTCGAACATGTCCTCCGACTGCGGGTCCAGGGTCCAGTAGTTGCCTTTGCCGGGGTTGCCCGGCTCCCGGGGGATCTTGACGAAGCAGTCGTTGAGGGAGAGGTTGTGCCTGATGGAGTTCTGCCAGGCGGGGAACTTCTCCCGGTAGTAAGGGAACCGGTTGCTGATGAACTCGCAGATCCCGCTGAGGGTCAGCTTCTTCTGGGGGCTCTGCAGGATGGCCATGGTGATCAGGGCGATGTAGGAGTAAGGCGGCTTGACCAGGCTCGACTTGGCTTTGTTGGGGCCAATTCCCGTGGTCCCAACCCCAACCCCGACCCCGGCCCCCACGCTCTCCCCCGCCTCACCCTCGGGGGCGCTGGCACCGTCCCCCGGCTCCTCCTGCTCGCCCCCCCGCTCCGGGCTCAGGCGGCTCTCGGTGTCGCTGTCCTTGCCCAAGCCCTCGTCGCCCTCACCCACCACGTCGATGTCCACATCTTCCGCCGTCAGCACCGTGGGTCCAGACATGTCCCCGGCGCTGCCGCCTCCAGACAGGGTCATCGCGACGCTCTGTGTCTCTCTCTGTCTCTCTCTCTCTCTCTCTCCGTGGGTTTCTCTCGCGCGTGTGTGTCTGTGTGTGTCTGTGTGTGTCTGTCTGTCTGTCTGTCTGTCTGTCTCTCTGTCCACCACACACGTTGTTCTCTGTGTCTCCAGCGCACACCGTGACTCCCGTCTGCAACACACCGTGTCTCTTTGCGTGTTCAAACCACGAGAGACAAGTCCGTGCGTCTGTCTCCCTCTCTCTCTCTCTCTCTCTCTCTGTGCGCGTCTCTATCCACAAACACAACGCGAAACAAGGTAGAAACTTCTTCTCTTGCGATGCCAACTTGTCTCTCTCTCTTTTTCTCTCTCTCTCTCCCTCTCTCTCTCTCTCTCTGCCTCTCTCTCTCTCTCTCTCTCTCTCTCAGCTGGGCTCAGCCTCACAGATCAGATGACACCCGCTGTTTAAGGCAGGTCAGTGTGTGGCTGTCAGTCTCAATCAATTACACACACCACCTCCAACTTTCTTTTCACCCCAAACAGCAGTCAATTTCCAACCAGGGGAAGGAAATATTACTGGGAGGTATTTGCTGGAATTCTCGCTGCCGCTTTGCGGTGTTTTTTTTTTTTTTGGTTGTTTTTTTTTTGGCGTTGCGGCTGTATAACTGTCTATTTAAATCTATGGAAAATAATAAACGGTTTGGCCGGACCAGGCGGCGGCGCTTCCCAGACTGTTTGTTTTGGGGTGAAATCAGGGGGAAATGGGAGCTGTGACAGAGAGATATACCCTCAGCTCAAGTCACGTGTGGGCTCGTCAGCCCGACCTCTTGTTAAATCAGGCAAAACTCTAGTTATTTCATGTAATCGTCAACAAAGCTCTGACCAAGACAACACTAGTGGCGAGACTCACCCTGACTCACACTCACCCAATCCCAGATCCCAGCCCCGACTCTACTTCCCTCACTACTAACTCACTCCATACACACAGCTCGCACTTATACACTGGATTATATATCTCACCTCTGTCTGTGTCTCTCTCACACTCACACACACACTTCTCTCTCACATTCTCTCACTCTATCCCTGTCTCTCTGTCACGCACAAACACTCGTTCTCACACGCACTAAGACACACACACACACACACAAACACTCCCCCTCTCATCCCGTCTCACACACACTCACTCTCTGACACTCACACTCTCTCTCTCTCATACCAATACTCTCACACACTTTCTCTCACACACTCACTCTCTCTCACACTTTCGCTGTCTCGCACACTCACACTCACTCACACACACACACACGCATTCTCTCACACACACTCTCACGCATCCCCTTTCACTCACCCTAAAAAAACACATTGTTTTCTTCAAACGGGTATCCATTTCATCCCCTCATTTCTTTTTTTTAAATCTTAGCCCAGAACAATCTGCAAAGATAAATATTTTGATTGCAATTCTTTCCCCCATCGAAATCCATCGAGCGCTACCTGCGATTAGTTTCGTTTCAATATTTTTGGGGGTTTATTTGGGATTCGGTGGGTTTTCGGGTGGGATTCGATGCAATTCGTTCGCAGTTCAATGTTATTTTTATTAATGTTGTTTTTTTTTATTCCCGCGCCTTGCCGGGCAGCTCGGCTCTGTCTGGCTCTGTCCTGTATATATTTTTGGAAAGGTATTTTCACATCTGCAACAGCCGCTAACTGCACACACAGCAACATAGCAATCGATTAATGTGAGAGGGTAGCAGGAAGCAGATTGTGTGTCTGCGTGAGCGTCTGTGTCAGTGTGTGTGTGTATATATATATGTGTGTGTGTTTGTGTATCTGTGTATATGTGTGTGTGTGTGTGTATATATATGTGTATGTGTGTATGTCTATGTGAGAGTGTGTATGTGGCTCTCTTTCTGTGTGTGTGTGTGTGTCTGTATATGTGTGTCTGTGTGTATATATATGTGTATGTGTATATATGTGTGTGTGTATGTGTGTGTATGTGTGTGTGTGTGTATGTGTGTGTGTGTATATATATGTGTGTGTGTGTGTCCACGTGAGAGTGTGTATGTGGCTCTCTGTGTGTGTATGTGGCTCTCTCTCTGTGTGTATGTGGCTCTCTGTGTGTGTATGGTGTCTGTGTCTGTGTGTGTGTGTTCACCTGAAACTGACACCAGGATGTGTGGAGGTGTGAACGAGCCGCGTTAGCATATGAAACAAGTAGGAAATGAGAGTGTGAGCGAGTGAATGGAAGCGGCAGCGTGTTTCAGACTATTCCCAGCCGAGAGGTTCAATGTAACCCACAAAACCGCAGTCTCCAAACACATCTAAACAGGATCTCTCACTGTCAGCCAAACAATAGCCGGCAAACTCACCTCTTTATCACAATAATCCCTCTCCCCTCACCCCCACCCCCCCAGAAAACACTCTGTTAAAAACCTGACACCACTTATTTTCGTTCGGTGTAAGCTTGTTCCGTGGAAACGGCAGCTCGCAGCGACGCGATTTGTTTAACGGTGCCAGAAAATGCCCCGTTTTCTCTATATTTTTAATTTATACACATATTTTCTAATCGCTTCGATCTGTCCCACAGCCCCTCCCTGTATAATCACAATATCTATCTGCTGACAAAGGGATCAATTACACTGCCCTCCCCCTGATTAACACCAACAACAACAAGGCAGCTCTTTACGACGTTTTTTTTTGATGGGAGGCTTGTACAACCGTTTAATACTGACAGACTAGACTCTCTCTCTCTCTTTATCTCTCTCTCTCTCTCTCTCTCTCTCTCTTTCTATCACTTTCTCCCTATCTCTCTCTACCTTTCTTTCTCCCTCTCTCTCCTTCGCTTTATCTACCCCCACCACCCCCACCCCGAACCCCCTCCATCATTTCGCTCCCTCTCTTCTTCTCCCTCTCTCTCTCTCTCTCTCTCTCTCAGTTTGGTTTGGGTACCCTTAAGCATGGTGATGGGTTTCCACATGTGTCAGGCTGACCAAAAAATAATTCTCTCTACCCCCCCCCCCCCCCCCCCCCCCCCCGGTCTCGCTCATATTCTTTCTTCCTCTCTCCCTCTATCTTCCTCTCATCCCTCGCTCTCTCCCTCTCCCATTCTCTCTCTCTCTCTCTCCGCCAATCTCCACTGTAACTAAACTCTCTAATTAATAATAGCATCGCCAACACCTCAGCCACAAACCGCTTTACTAAAACAAAGGGAAACGAGCTGTTAACTTTAATTAAAACCGCGATTAAGAGGCGCTGCGCTTTTTTTTTGTTAGAAACAACATTTTACAAGTGTCGGCTCCGGGATGAAGATGTGTTAAACGATGATTAGGGGCAAAAGGGGAACGAATTTAGCCTGGGAGAAAACAGAGAGAATAGAGGGGGAGTCAGAGAGAGAGAGAGAGAGAGGGAGAGAGAGAGAGAGAGAGAGAGAGAGAGACATAGATACAGAGAAAGAGACACAGAGAGAAGACACACAGAGACAGAGGGGGACAGAGCGAGACACCGAGAGAGACAGAGGGACAGAGAGAGACAGAGAGATACAGAGAGAGACAGAGAAAGAGACAGAGAGAGAGAGACAGAGAGAGAGAGAGAGAGAGAATAGGAGAAAGAGACAGAGAGGTGGAGAGGGTGAGAAAGGTGGAGAACGCGCTTTTATCGCTGTTCCCATATGTGCGAACCGACGGACGGGAGCGGGTGATTTGCCCACATTCAGCCCTAAATTCCGCTAAAGATTCGCAACTTTACTCCCGGGAAAGGTAACTTTGTAAGGACCGCTTTAGCGAGAGCTTCGGTATAAACACAGGCAAGATTTCGTTATATTTATTCGATAGAGCAGCGGGATACTAGGTTAAAAAAACAGACTAAAAGGCGGGGGGGTGTTAGATTTCTGTGTATATTTTTATGAGAGGAGGGATAGAAAGAGAGAGGGAGAGAGATAGAGAGTTACTGTCTCTAACCGCTCCCCCCATCCCAGCTCACATTCACAGTTGATAAGGAAACAAACTGCACAAAGTGTCTCTATTTACATCCCCCCCCAAATTACTGTTTAACTTATGTTCCTAAATTCCCTCCAGCTCTCCCACTCTCCCTCTCTCTCCCTATCCCCAAAATATCAACAGTTTCTTTGTATGAGAGACAGACAGAGAGAAAGGGGATGAATGATTATTTCCGGGGTCGCATCTGTAGTGTGCATAGTACTCTCTCGTCATTTCATTTTGGTCTGGACTCTCACAAACATTATATACAATACACACACACACACACATACATATATATATATTTATGTGTGAATGTTCAGGCCAAAATAAAATGAAGAGAGAGCGAGAGATGCTAATATTTATATTAAAAAAATCTCATGTGTGTGTGCATATAAATATATATGTAAAATACAATATAAATTCATATTTATATATGTGTATTATATATATATATAGAGAGAGAGCACTTTCATGTCATCGCTATTTTTCAGACCACATCTCATATATAAATGTATTTATATATAAATATTTGTGTACGTGTTATAATGTTTTGCTGACTATCTGGTCCGATGGCTCTAATCGTGGTGAAATTCGGGGTTTCGCTAAACACGAGCGTAAAATAGCTCATTTTATTGTGCTTTTAATTTTCGATTAGCTGCCCCCAAATCTCGGTGGAATTGGGGTAGAACAGTGAGAGAGAGAAAGAGAGACTGGGGGGAAAACGAGTCATTTTGATGCTTCTATACAATAAAAGTCAAATTAATTAAACGATGCCATTAATTATGAGCCTTAGCGTGAAAAGCAACATTTCTCGTCGATTAGAGCCGGGTGTTAGAGCCACATTGAGCCGCGTACAAGCGATTGATGTCGGTGTCATCTGCACACACACACACACACTCACACACACTCACACGTACACACACTCACACGTACACACACTCACACATACACACACTCACACTCACACACACATTCACACACACACTCAGACTCAGACTCACACACACTCACACTTACACACACACTCACACACACAACGAGCGCTTC